TAAAGAAGAACGGAATTGGGGCAGATACTAGATAGTGAAGAAACAATGAGTAGCCTTGATGGGGACATTGATGCCAGGTACTCGCTAGTTATGTATTTCCTAAATGCCGTGCAATCACTTCGACTCTTGACTTCCTATCCTTCTTATTCTCTAATTTCTTGTGTACGAAATCGTAATTCGTCTTTGGTTTCGTCATGTCCTTTCTCTCTTTTCTTCTTCTACGGACTCTACCAACTCTGCTGAGAACACGTATTAGTTGCGTTCGTGCAAGATCCCAAACGGCAATGCATCCACGTTGCACACCACTTTTGTTTTCATCATCTTGTAGAAGTTCTGTCAAGTCTGTCGTGGACTGAGCGACTTTTTTTTCCTTTTCTGTTTTTATTTTAAATGTGCTCCTCGCTTTACGTTTCACGATGGCAACCGTGCGACTCACAGAGCCCGGGCAGAGTTTCTTCTCGCATGCAATACAAAGAAGAACGAAGAAGAGAAACAATAACAACAAGGTAGGATGGCAAACAATAAGAGAGAAAAAAGAGAAGTGCGACGAGGACTGCGAGAGGCGCTCTTGCTACCTTGCTGAGACGATATGTAGATTTTTTTTTTTTACTTTGGTGTTCTTTTCTCCTTTTGCGGTGTGTGTGGGTGTGTTTTCATCTTTCCAGATCCTGTTTTCCCCGTGCGTTTATCATTGCCAACAGCTTTGAACGTGTATTGTTTCTCTCTCTGTTTGTTGTTTTTTTTTTTAACCTCAGCACAGACGTTGTTGCACGTTAAAGATCACACAGCCTTCTGATGGACTTTGCCCAACGAAAAGGGTCACAGCGAGAAGCACGAGAAGTGAAGAGAGACGAAAATAATGCAAATGAAACGTGGGGCTCTGTGTTGACGCCACCCTATACACGTGCGTTGGGTCTTCTCGCCGGAAAGCAGAAAGTAAAGGTAGTCAGTTCTCTTCTTCCTCGCAAAGCCCTTTCTTTTCTTCTTGCGCGACACTTTTTTTTTCGTTTTTCTTCCGTTATTCTAATCAATGTGTAGCCGGTAAACGAGAGTTAAGGTACGAATACAGGAACAACAGGAACAATACATCAACGAGGTTTGCATTTGAACACACCTTGACAAGTAGGAAAACGAGTGCAGCGCAGCTTCCCCCCCCCCCCCACTCCTCCTCCTTGAAAAGCGCTGAGGTGCTGAATATAAAATATATGTGGACTATCAACTGCAGTGAAAACAGCATCTACGCATTCCAAAAACAACAACTGTGAGTTGTGGAACAAACAGGCTAGCGGAGGTGATGCAGCGGCGTTGTTCAACTCTCGGCCGTTTCTTTTTCCAATAATTATCGTGGTGGTGCAAAAATTACTGTGCTTCACGTTTGGCACGCGTCTTCTCTAACATCAGCTGCTCTTTCCTTTCTCTCTTCGTTCATTCACGATTCGTTACCAAAGATACTCTCTTTTCCCGCTGCTGCGCGGATACGCCGTTTCTTTTCCTTTTTAAAGAAAGGCGAGCGAGACCGGCTGCTATCCAACTGGTTTTTATTAATATTAAAGACCCTCTCTTTCTCACTCCCTCTCCAAACACCACTTAGCAAAGTCATGGCGTCGTCTGCCGCCCCCTCGAAGCGATCTTCCGGCGTGAAGAAGGCGACTAAGACGAAGGCGTCCACGGCGGGTGGCGCCAAGAAGGAGGCGCTGCCCAAGATTGGGAAGGGCGGTGGCGCGTCCACCGTCAAGGCAGCTGCCGCGCAAACCGCACCTGCCGCAGCCGCCAAGCGCAAGGCAACTGGCTCCGTCAGCACCCGTGCGACGAGCAATAAGAAAACGAAGTCCGTCGGTGGCCCGCGGCCTCCGCCGTCGTCGAAGAAGGGGACTCGTAGCACGGCGGGTAGTCGCGGCAGTCGTGGCCGAGGTGGCCGTAGAGGTCGTGGTGGCCGTGGCGGACGTCGCGGTGGCAGCGGCGGCGCGACGAAGCAGCAGCAGCACCAACTGCTGATCATCGCCGCTGCTCTCGAGACGGCGGAGGAGGACGAGCAGACGCTGCGCCACGAAATCGAGGTGACGGAGGAGCTTGAGTTTGACGGCTTCCGCCCCATTTACAATGTTCTCGTCATGGAAATGGTTCGCGGTCAGGTGGAGCAGGTGAACCTGCGTCAGCGCTCGCTGAATGAGATGCTCGAGACGCTGAAGGCGGAGGGCCTCCTAGGCGGCGACAACCGACAGAGCTCGCGGGATGCGCAGCAGGCAGAGGCGCTGGTCGATCGGCTGCGGTCGCGGCTGCAGAGCGACGCGGTGGCCGAGGTGCAGGCGCTCAAGACGGAAAACGCGAACTTGCAACACAACTTGGAAGCCATGACGCTGACAGCCGAGAAGAAGGCGAGTGAGATGGAGGTAATGCGGTCCAAATTCGCGCGTAAGCTGGCGCGCAGCGACGTGGAAAATGACACCACGCGCACCGAGGTCCAGGCCACTCTGCACGCCTCCGCCTTAGATGTGGAGCGCATTAAACGCGAGTTAGTGCACCGCATTGACATCGCCTGCGCGTCCATTCGCACGCCACGTTATAAGACTTCGTTAGAGGAAATGCGGGAGCTGACGCGGCAGGCTCAGGCAGAGATCCAGCAGCACCACGACGAACTGACGAAGCTGGTCGTGTCGATTGGCGCCAAAGACACCTTCTTGAAGAACGATGTCGACACGATGCACTCCAACCTTCCCACGCAGTACCGCACGGAGTTGCGGAAGATGGAGAAGGATCAGCTGCTGAACCTGTTGGATGTACTGAGCTTTCAGGATGGAGTGGTGGACACCGTCGGCAAGGCCATCTACGTCACCACCGAAGTGCAGCACAAGACCGCCGTTGTGTAACCCACGTACGTGGACGGTGCAGAACTCCGCCGCCCTCCTCGCGCAAAAAGAGAGGGAGACACACGAACGTCGTCGAGGCTAGGTGTGTCTTCTCCTCGCTGCTGTGGAGGTTGTCGATGTCAGGTGCTCTCCTTGTCAACAACAACAAAAGAGCAGTGGCTTCCAGCTGTGTTGGTGATGCATGTGCATCGTTTTCTTTTCCTCTCCCCTTTTGAGTTCTTCTTCCCGTTTTCAGATCATGATGTGCTCATCAATTGCCCCATGTAAATTAAAATCCCCGTTCGAAATGGATCTTTTTTTTTGATCTCCTTCTTGTGCCTTTCGCTTTCTTCTCCTGCATAATGCGCACGTCTCAGCTGTACGGAAGCTTTTCCCCCAAAAAAAACAGCACGGTTTGGAGAAAGCGTTGTGGAATTGTCTTTCCCTTTTAGGTGTTTGCACTCCTTTCTTTTTGTCGTTGTTCTCTTCTGTCATGTAAACGACTTTCTTATGATCCTTATTGATGTTGTATTGTTTGAGTGCGATGACATCGAATAATAAAGAAGCCGACTTTACATGGAATGCTAGTTGGACTTTGTGTCTACCAGCCAGACAGAGAAACGAGGGGAACACCCTTACAGCTTTAAAAAACCGTGTCGTAGCTGCGTCCTGCCCTAAGCCCATGCTTCTCTTCTCACCCAGGCGCATAGCTGCCGCGTAGCGCGTCTCTGATAAATACTTACAAATACTTTCGGTGGAACCGAAACTGTTAGCATGGCGAACGGTGAGAAAAAAACTGAGCGCACAGTTTCCATGTCCTCTAGATTGCCTTTTTCCTCTCCTTTCATGATTCGGTTGCTTTCTTCCGTTTCTTTTTCTGTTTTTACAGCGTACACGAAGCTTCACCCGAACGTCATCTCACGAGGCCAGTACTCGCTATCAGAAGGAGACCGTGACGTCTAGGCAACGAAACGGGAGGGGGGGGGGTGAAAAGGGTACTACAGAAAAGAGAAAAGGTGAGACAATAGTCTGTGTGTTGTTCTCGCCTTTAATTGAACTGCTGCGTGTTGCGCACATGCCGTTCATCTGGAGCATTCGCTACAGCAAACTGGCCTACATCACGCCACGATGCCACCGAAAGGTTCCCGTAGGGTGAGAGTGGCGAACGCGGAAAGCGGGATACCACAAAAACCTCTGGGCGAGGCCGCGTTGCTATCCAACAACTCGGATCACGAAATCCCCCCTCCGTCGAAAGCACCATACAATGCAGGGGAGCCGGACTCAGCAGCGAGGCCACAACGACGGCGTCGCCGTCCGCGATCGGGACCGCTCTCGCAACTCCCTATCCCCACGCACAACCAGCTCTGTCCTCTCCGATCTCCCTCGCTACAAGCCGACGCAGAGGGGGAACCCCGTCCTTCGGCCACTGTTGCATTATCAGCGTTTGGTCCGCCACAGAAATCGACGGCGGAAATAGCGGAGGCCCAAGCGGAGCTCGCATTGACATCCTCCCCAGCGCCGACCGCATCCCCTTCAATCAGCGCAACTGCATCAACCAGCTCGCCTCCATCCTCGTCGTCGGTAGGCGGGGCGGCCGCCTCGGTGAAGGACGACGCAACCACGACACCTCCATCGCGTGACGCCCCTCAGTCTATCGATCTTTGTCCAAGTTCTCTGGCTTCTGTAGATGATTCACATGGAGACAACTTTGCCTCCGGTCCGCCTTCCGTGTTGGGTTGTCTTGCCGCCTGTTTCGGCTGGCGACTTGCGTCGTATAGCTCTTCCGAAGATGGGGAGCTGCAGTTTGCACTGCGACGACCCTATAATTCGAGCGTGAGCGCAACGGTGAGGGCGCCCCGTGGTGGCTTTGACCTGACCGCAAGGTGTGTCCGGACGGATGCGGCACCGCAGGTGTCTGTGAATGAGGTGGCGATGCGTCTAGAAGACTGTGCGACATTTCTCTACCGCATGCCCGGCCACACGGCTTCGGAAAGGGAGCAAGACGCATCACAGCAGCAGCCCATCGCTTCTTCTTCTCCCCCTCTTCCTTCTCGCGAATCTTCTTCTCGTTCCGCAGAGTCACCGGAGGTGCGGGCTCCGCCGGTACTCTGTCAGGTGGGACGTGCGTTGGACATCAAGCACCGTGCGGAGAAGCACGCGCGTAGCTACTCTCCCTCGCCGGCTCCGCTTTCTCCCTCGAAGGAGCACCGCTGGCAGAAGGCGGAGCCGGAAGATGATACGGGCGAGGTGGCCCCGCTTCTGCAGCGTGAGGGAGCTCCGATCCGTGCGACCCCCGCTGCGGCCGCCAACGCAGAGAAGGTGACGGAGAAGCTGCCGAGGCAGAAGCGGGACTCTCTTCCGCCGGCGGAGCGTTCGTTGCCCCTGCCCTCACTCCCGCCGTCTTTTTTGGTCTCGATCGGCCCGGCGACTCCCACGAAAGAGGAGTCAGCGCCATCGCCCGTCGTCGATGCCCCGCCGCCACCGCCGAAGTGGCAGCGAGACCAACCGTGCCAAAAAGAAGAAGAAGACCCCGACGATGTGCTGCTCGTGTCGCTGTGGCCGAATGCGACAGGCGCCACCGCTGTCGGTGTAGGCGCAGATGCGACCTCGCCACCACCACCTCGTCTCCCCGCCCCCCGTCCAGCCGCGGCAAAACGTTCTTTTCCAAACGCTGCGTTGGTCCCCACCGCGGGGGTGCCACACGGTAAAGGGGCGTCGTCGCCATCGCGGTCGCGTCGGTCGAACGCGGGCGCCTCAGCGTGGCCGCCGGGGGTCACAGCGTCTGGGGACGCCACCGCCGTCGGAAGGGTAGGGGGAGGAGGATACTCACCTTCCTCTTCCTACCCACCCACCACTCAACGGTCGGTCAAAGGCTCGTTTTTTATGCCCTATATGCTGGCGTTAGCGAACGTGAATGCAAGTCCCTCCAGTGCGAACAGCGGCAGCGGCGGTGTGCTGACCGCCGAAGGACACGATGGCAACACGAGTGGACCGTCACGTCAGCTGTGCACTTTCTGTAGTCTGACTGGGCAGTCAGCGGAGTCGTCACGAAGCTGGTTGGCGCACACGCACGCCGTAAGCCGTGAGTTTGACGAAGTACCCTCGTCACGTCCGCTGCCCCCCTTCGCAGAGGAGTCGGCACTGTGCAGGGGCAACGGCGAGTCCGCTACACAGGACGGGAGAGGGAGGCACGTCGTCGACACCACGGCGGATGTGGCGGCTGCGGTGCGGGCCACGCTGCGGCAGCGATGGCGGCACCGGTCTTCGCTCTGGTCACACATGGAGGAGTCCCTCCGCCTCGCCGTCGGGTCTGGCCGGCTGCGCGGTGACGCCCTTGAGGCCGGCGTGCAAGCGTTGCAGGCCAGCGAGGAGGAGCAGCTTCAGTACGATGGCGGCGTACTCGATGACGGCGGCGCGCAGGACGTGTATGACGCCCTCGTGGCCTCCGCTCGTGCGACGACGCTGTGCGGCTTTCCTGCGATCCCCCCGCGGCCGATGCTCCCCGTCTCTGGCACAACGGTGGTGGAGGCACAGCGCCGCATCTCGGAGGTGGAGTCCGGGGAAACGGGCAAGAATGGCACTTCTCCACCTCGCTACGTCGTCTATCCAAGCGGCATTCCAGCAGCCGATCGCATCCTCATTGACCGAACCTACACAACCCGTGGCTCCTACGTGGTGGCGTCGATGCCGTCTTCTGCCGTATCCGGGACCGGTATCGCTGCCCAGCTCCCAAAAAGCCAAGAAAAAATGGCGGAGGGTGCTGCTGACAGCTTTGCTCGCCAGCGGGGTCCTGTGTCTGAACCGCTGCCCGTCTTGTTGGCCAATCCACAGGAGGACCTGCATTACCACATCTACAAGCGCTTTCTCACCAAAGACATGCGGGAGGCGCTGGAGGCGGAGGGGACGCTCGAGATCGGAACGGACGGCATCGGTCCCGCGGACAGAGACAGCACCGAAAGGGGCAACGCGCTCGCGGGGTCGACGCAAAGCGTCCGCGACGACAACGGTGAAGACGACGACAACGGTGAGGAGTTGGAAGCTGAAAAGGATACCGCGAATTGCGTGCCTGCGGTGAAGGGTGAGGCCAGCCCCGTCAATGCGGCGGGAGTCGTAGTGCCGCCGAGCTCGGCAGACATCGACTACGTTCTCCGTTACCGCCCGGCGATTCAGCGCATCCCGATGCCAGATGTCGAGTCCCGGTACGGGTTGTAAGTTCCAACTGAAAGCGTTGCGGGGATGCCAAAAGTGACTGCTCTGCACGTGTGTGTATGTGTGTGTAAGGCACAGCTGGTTTTGTCACCCTCCTTGTATTATACATGATTCGAGGCAGAATTTCTCTTTTTTGTTGGAGAGCCCAAAGGGAAATATAATAGAACGCACCCGCGCTACTCACCGATCGTTCGAATGCTAGCGCGGAAACAATATGCGTATGCCGACAGCAGCAACACTTTTTTTAACGGCGAAGCAACCTATTCTTTCCCAGGTCTTAAAAAAAGGAAATTATCATCATTGTTATGCCGCCATGTATTCTTGTTTCTTCCCCTTTGAATCTCCTCATTGCTGTTACATGCTTGACCTCCGTTTCTCGCCTCTCTTTGCTTTGACGAAGAGCGGCAAGAAGAGAAAGAAATAAAAAACGACACCTACACAGAACCGATTAACAACCTTCCGTGTTCCGTCTCTGGGTATTAAAGGAGTCTCTTTCTGAAAAGAACATTCGTTCCGCCACTTTGGGGGACAATGGAGCGGCAGCGCAAGGCACAGGCGCGGCATCTCGCGTTGCTTTCGCGCGACGCTCCTGTGATGAATCGGTGCGCCAAGGAAGAGGCGCATTTGAAGCAGCGACTGGCGCAGTCCACCGCCGTCCTCACACGAAGCGCACGGCAGAACCAGGCAGCGGCAGAGCGCGAAGAGCGTGCCCGAACGGCCCAGTTACAGGCCCAGTTCTCCGCCATTCTGACTAAAACACCAGAGGTCCGCGTGCCAGGCCCTGACACCACCACCAATGTACGCAGTGCGGCAGAGGCGGCCCCTGTAGTGGCCGTAGAAAGTGTCGCCGGATCGAAGCCGCGCGCGGCAGCGGAGTGCGCACGATCCGGACTGCCGGTGGCACCGTCGCACCCTGCTGCTGCGGCGGAAGGCGTGGCTGCGCCGTCTTCGTCGTCCCCGGCGTGTTTTCTCGGGTTCCCGGAGCCTTTCAAGAACAGCGGCTTCAAGTCCGTTGTACACTGGGCCTCTGTTTCGTATGATGAGACGTTTCTCACGGCTTACGGTCCTCGCCGGCTTCGCGAGGAGCTGCAGACGGGCACCGTGGCCGCGGCGGGCGGCGCGCCGACTGCGCGCGACGCTCGTCCACACCGACTGCTGGCCGCAGTTGCGTGCTATTTGCTGAACGAGGTGCTATGCGCCGACGCAGCGGTGTCCTCTTTATGGCAAGAGAAACTGCGTCAGCCCATTTTCGACGCTGTTTTTAGTTCCCAGTCCATCGCTGCAGGCGAGCAGAAGCGCAGAGCCTGTCAGTGTGTCGGACCGGCCGGCAATGAGGCGACGCGGTCGAACGCTATTGTGCTGCAATCGTTGGGGCCTGCCGCTGTTGCGGCTCCAAGCACGTCAGCGGAGGGAGATGTTGAAACGTGTGCCGCCGCGGCGTCTCCCGCGTCCTTCGCGCCGCCACCACTGGACACTTTGTTTCCCCCGCGCACCAACGTCTACGCCAGTCGCGACGACTTCGCCACGATGCGTCTGTGGACGGAAGAGGTGACGGCCGAGCAGCGCGAGAAGGCGATTGTGTGCCGGCGTGTGCGCAGCCTGCAGCAAGTGATGGAGCGCCGCATGGAGCTCCTGCAGGTGTACCAACGGCAAAGAAACGAGGCGATACTGCGGTCCATCTTTACGGTGTGGCGCACGAACACGCGGCAGTGCCGCGCGCGTCGTATCGTCATGGAGCGCTATCTCGAGAATCGGCACTGTCGCGTACTGGAGGAAAGCGTGTTTCTGCGGTGGCGACGCGTGACGTTGCAGGCCAAGGTAGAGTCGCTCCAGCGTCGCATGTTGAACATGGTAGCTGAGCACGTCGAGGCCGCTCGCAAGAGCGCTGCTGCCCTGGCCGCCGTGCAGGAGCAAGTGAGCAGTGAGCGGCGGCGACACCAGCAGGCCGCCTTCGAGCAGGACGCGCTGCACACGCAGATCTTAGAGAGTCACAGCATGGAGGTGGAGGCTCTTCGGCTGGTGCTGCATCAACAACGGTCTCACGCCTCCGAGGTAGGGAAGTGGGCGAAGCGGTGGGAGCGTTTAGCGAAGACCTTTCGGCCTGCGACAGCCTGCCCTGCCGTCTCCCCATCGATGTGGACCTTGACGCTTGCGCTGTACAGCTCCGAGGAGAAGGCAGTGGCGAAGGTGCTCGGCAAAGGCGGCGACCGGAGAGTGCTGAAGCAGATGCCGTACTCGATGATGTTGCCAGTGCGGGAGCGGCTGGAAGGGCTGCTGCTGGCGTGGGTGAACGCCGTCATGGAGAAATCACCTCTGGCCGCGTCGTGGGTGCCGCTGGAGAAGTTCATGCACGGCAGCACGACCCACCCGGTGAGCATTTTGGTCTCGCAGAAGGCAGAGACGGACGCGCCGTCGCGAGCGCGAACCACTGCGGCAACCGGCGCCAACATCGCAGCGGAGTCGTTCATGTCCGAGTTCGGCGTCTACACGCTCATGGAATTTGTCCGCGAGCTGCGTCGACTGTACATTCTCGCGGGCAAGTTATCCGACCCCGACATCGCGGAGTCGCGGCTGACAAGCAATTGCACCGCTCTCTCCAAGTGCTTTCGCGACGTTGTGCAGCTCCTGTCCGTGCAGACCTGTGCGGGTCTCTACCCGTCCTTACTGACGCACTGCCCTTCGCTCTCACGGTGGTTCACCCCGGCAGGCATCTTTGGCGGACCGACGAATTCGTTCGAGGGCGCAGGGCGGGAGCGGCGGCTGCAGCACACCATGTTCGTCTGGCTCCTCACCGCGCTGCTGGTCGGCCACATTCGGATGGTGATTTTGGCACCGGCGGGGGAGAAGGACGACGGACTGCCGCACCCGGCGTCGAGCGCGGCGAGTCTGCGATGCTCGCGGGAGGCCGTCCTCGAGACCGTTCCCCAAATCAACTTTCCGGTAAAGCGGAGGGCAGCGGCAGCTGCGGCGGCGGCGATTGCTGCTCTACCAGAGCGTGAGGAAGACACCGACACGTCGACATCGGCGGGCGGCCCGAGCGCGCCCTCCCTCGGCACGTCCATCGTCGCGCAGAACACCCTTCTCTCCAAGAGGCCGCCGAATGCTGCCAACAGTAAAGTTTCCATCGCCTCTTCCGAGCCGACGAGGAGCGTCATCACAGGTGAGAGCGGCGCTTCGACGGCGGGGTCGCCCCGTCGCGCAGATGGTGCTGAGGCTCTCCTGAAGGGCGTGGTGACGCTCGAGACGGCGCTGCGGGAGCGCAGTCAGCAAGCGGGGGCACCCCTGACGGACGGCGAAGACTCCTTGTCGGACATCGAGGCCTATCTCGGGCTTCTCTCCACGCAGGCGCGTACGTTACGGAGGTCGGGGAGCAACCACGCGAAGGCGACTGGCACTGCAGGACCGAAGGAAACGGTGACGGGGGATGGCACCAGCAACAAGGAAGACGACGATGATTTCGTGAAACGGCTGCTGCAGCAGCTCGTGGAGGCCAGAGATGCGGCTGCGCGGCATCGACGCATCCGACGCATGCAGGGCGCGGCGGCATCGACGCATCCGACGCACCACACCCAAGTGCCCTTTTCTGCATTTCCAAACAACGACAGCGTCGACGACGACGAGGATGACGAGTGGGACGCGCAGGAGGATGCCGCAGCAGGGAACTGTTTTCTGCATCCACCCATCGAGGACCGGACGTCTGCCATCCTGACAGAAGAGCAGCTGATCATCCTGCGTTCTTTGCCGTCGCGCAGCCGCGCTTTTGACGTCATTCGATCGGTCTGTCCTCCTGCGCCAGCGCCCTCCTCGCCGCACTCCTTATCCTCCGATGCCCCCAATACGGCTGCGGTCTCCTCCACCGATGAGCCATCCGGCATGTTTTATTCTTTCCTACTCAACATGCTGGAGGATGTCAAGAGACGGCAGCAGTGGGCGGGCGTGGCGCGCGTCGTGACGTCCCTCGTCGTGCGCTTTCACATCCTCGACGACGCGAACGACGGCGGGCAGCGAGCCAACAAGCTGCTCGCCAACCGAGCCGATATGCAGAAGGAGGAGTCTTTCTCACGGCGGCGGCTTTCCACGTCGCTGCCGTCCTTCAACACCGCCTCGTCGTCCCTCGTGATGCTGCCGCAGTCCGCGCGACTGCCAGCCGTGCCTACCAGCACTACAGCAGCAGCACGTGATGCGGCTGCGTCGAAGCCGCGGACGACAAATTCGGTGGACAACTCAAACAATGCCGCCGCAACGGAAGGTGCATCGTCCGCGAGGGACAAGAGCCACATGCAGCGTGTGGCAGCCAAACTGGTGCCTCTGCGTCCGTCACCGTCTCATTCACTGTCTACCACCCCCGATGCGTACCTTTTGGCAGGATTTGCGAACCATCAGACTTCTCTGCACCTGAGTGTTGCGAGCGTCGGCGAAGACCTCCTGCGCTCGACGCCGTCTGCGACAGATTCCAGTCCGCAACCGGCCGATAAAGATGGCTCGTCCGCACGTGGCTTCGCCCCACCGGCGTCCTTCGCATCGGTCTCTCCTCCTCACAGCAAGAACGGAAGTAACTCGCTTCTCAGTGCGCACGAGATGCACGTGCTGAACGGTAAGATGCGCGTACGACGTAAAAACACCGCGGCGGTGTCGGCCGCCGTCTCAAACTCGCAGCGGACATCAGCATCTGCCGACAATACTTCCGACGCGTCACCCCAGAGGCCGTTGCACGACGAAAAGAGTTCCTTCTCCGCTCCTTCTTCCTCGGCGCTACAGCTGCCGCTTCAGCAACTGACACTGTTCTCCTCCGAAATCTCCGCCTTGCGGACCTCGCCCCGTGACGCCGTCGTCTGCTCTGACGTTCCGCCACGTCGCCAGGATGTGCAGGAAGACCACGAAGAGGAGGCACTGGGGGCCGAGAGGAGGGAAGCCAGCGCCTCCTTGAAGATCCCGGACCTATCGATCCTGTCAACACCACAAGAAACAGGCACGGAAGTTTCGCACGAGAGAGTGCTCGGCACAACATGTCGGAGTGACGCAACCGCTTTGCAGGACTCCCGGCTGCACGAACCCCACTCGCACTCGTCTTTTGTAGACCCGCCGTCACCACCGGCCATGAAGGAACGCAAAGGTACGATGCAGCCATCGGCGTGTGAGGCGGACAATGCGTCTCGACACCCCACTGCACCTTCTGCTCAAGCAACTGTTCCGCAGACGCGGCTGCAGACTTCACAGACCGGCGCGCAGCTGCACTTGTCCTCACTGCCACCCCCACAACGGGAAGGTGCGCGGACCGGTCCTGCGGCAGCGCCATTGGTGCTGCCGCCTGTCGTGTCCAACACAACTGTCGACTCCGCTGCTGCTGAGGCGAAGGTCGAGGAGGGTGAAGGAACCGTGGAGGGCGACACACTGAGGAGCCCATTAGGTTACCTGGACCCGCTCATCGAGCACGGCGCGCCACAGAGTTCGGCTGCAACGGAGAACATTCGCAAGGATCGCTTTCATTTGCAGCCGTAATGTGTGCCTTAAGAGCTCACAAATTCTGTCTGTTCTTTCGCTGACTCAATGCGGATGTGTGTTTGTTTTCCTCCGTTTCATTTTTGTTTATGCGTTCACCGCAATAGTTCTGTATAATCGCGCTGCTGCTTGTATATATGTTTACATTTTTTGTGGTTGTTGTTGAGTAGGTTGTAATTGCCAGAACTGCCTTGGCCGATGTATTCACATGTACATTTACGTTCATTTTACCTTTTTTGGTTTACTTCCTTTGCTTTCTTTTTTTCTCTGTTTTCGAACCTTATGATTTCTGTGTATGTGTGTCCGCTTCGCGAGACCTACCACTGGCACCGCTGCAGGCGTTGTTGTACCTTTGTGGGCAACCAAAAAAGACCCCCGCAAAAAGGAAACAGTGAGAACGCCATGAAGCGAGAATTGCGAAGCACAGCGAGACTCTTAACGCAAGGTGTGGATTTCCCTCTGTGTGTGTGTGTGTGTGTGAAGTCTTCACGATGGCGTTGGGGCATTCCTTTCTCGGTTTGGACAGCACTTCACGATTTTGCAGTCATATCTTTCTGAGCCTGTTAGTCCCAAACACGCATCAGACGGAAACGGATCCATCGCGGCAATAAACGCCAATAATAAGAAGACACCTTTTCTCTCTTCTCCTTTTTTCTGTCGCTCTATCACGTCTCCCTCCCCCCCCTTCAAACCACTTTTGGCGCAGGACAAACCAAAAGGAAAAATACACGAGGCTGAAATTACGGTGTGGTTCGCAACGAGACACACACACACGCACAGCCCCACATAGGGACGATGTCCAAGAAGACTGAGAAGGCAGACGCGGAGCTCGCACAGCTGCAAGTTCCTTCGCACAGCCTGCCTAACGAAACAACAGCACAAGCGTCAGTGACGCAGAAGAACGCGGCGGGTACGCTCCGTGATAATGCATCGAGATCCAAAGCACAGCGCCTTCGCGAACGCATCAAGCCTTTTCCGGTGGCACGAAGTACTCCCGGTTACCAAGCAGTCCTCGAAGACATTGAGCGCCGACGAGGGCGAGAGATGCGTCACACACTGCGCACCGCCGAAGCTGTGCGGAAAAAGCAGCAGTACCGCAACATTGCACTGGCTGCGTTGCTCGTCGTAGCACTTGGGATCGCCGCCCTGTTGTTCTCACGGCGAGGGTGATGGTCAGCGACCAGATGGGATGCTCTTTTAAAGAACTTTATTTTGCCATCTTTGTTTCTTTGCTTTTTTTTTCCTCTCTGCGTACGGCTTTTCATAGAGACCGGTGGACCCCCAAAAAGTGTATCGAAACGCTTCTTTTTCTTTCTCTCTTCACCCCGCCGTACTTTGCTGGCTATTTGCGTTTTTTAACCGCCACAGAAAAGAGGAGGTTACTTTCTGGCTCCACAGCATCCAAAGAGTGAATAAGAAAAGTACGAGATAGTTGGATTCGCGCTCACTGCAGATTCTGTTGATTCAACAACAAAAAAAAATGGGCAACACATAAAGCGAAGGGCAACGCTCATTGTAGCGCTCTTTCAGACCAGGCTTTCCTTCCCTTCGACGTCGCGTTTGGCAGCAACTCTTGTGTTTATAGTTTCTAATGAAATCTTTCATGCCAAGTGTGCAGCGGAACATGCTCTCGAAATTCTCCCTTCTCTTTTGCATTTTTACTGCTCGTCTGCGCTCTTGTGCACAGTCGTTAATTCTCATTAAGGGTTTTCCGAGGCACGGTGGAGTCCTACCATCCCCGCAAGAGCTGCCGGAGAAAACACAAAAAAAAGAAAAGAAGGTGCGTCGCCTCACAGGAACAGGTCTTTTTGTGCTCGCGCAACTTCATTCGTGTAATTTTAAGCGTTCATAAGGACGACATAGGATTACTTAACGCGGCGCTGCGGGATAACGCACCATAATACCTACTTCGGTGCATAGAATTTCCTTTTTGTATTATTGCTGCTGCTGCGTGCCATGGCAACGTCGTCGTCGTCTGCGAATAGCGCCGCGGTGCGCTCCGCGTGGGCGGATGCAATTGACGCAACAGCGGCCCTGAGCAGCACCGAAGCTCTCCACCCTGCCTCGGAGTACACCCCGAGCTCCTACCTGCCGCCGCTGCCTTCCGGCTGGGACGACGCTGACTTCTTTGCGCAACTGCGCGAGCTCGACAAGGCCTCGGCCGAAGCCGCGCCGTCCTTATTTCAACCGCAGATGACACTGGAGGAGGCGTGCCACGCAAAGCCGAGTTTCTTCGAGACATTTCGCGGTGAGCGAGAGGTGGCCGAGACAATTTTTCAGCCGCCGCTGCCACTGAACCGACGCGATGGAGAAGGCGGCGAGAGTGCGGGCAACCGCCATAGCGCACGCCGGCGTCGTCAGGAGGCGGCGCAGCCGCAAGGGACTGCGCCGCTCTACGGCGGGTTCTTGGGCCAGCAGGCGATGTCGCCCAGCACGGCCGTGCAGCGCAAGCCGGACTTTATGCCCGTTCTGCTTGTCCCGTCCGCCCCCACTGCGCCGCTGCAGCTGATCAACATCAAGCAGTTCCTAGAGCGAGGCGCCTACGTAGACCCGGCCTCACTGTACATTGACCAAGAAACCGGTGTGGCGAACATCCGCGACTCGAAGCCGCACTCGGTGGTGGTGCGGCCCGGTAGCTTCCACGACCCCCACAAGTACCACGTCGCGTTTCGTCAGTTTCGCGTCGTGGACGACCCAGACGAGGTCGACGACTGGTCGCACGTCTGCGGGTGCATTGTGGAGGGCAAGTTGTGGCAGCTGCGGGGTTGGTATCCGGCGGAGCCGCCGCAAGCGCGCAGCCCTAGCCGTCTCTTTACGCGCATTCGAGCCTTTCTAGCGTACTTTGAGGAGGACAAGGTGCCACCGCAGTGCCGCGAGTGGAATGTGTATAGTCTGCCGCTGACGCGTAACTTGCTGAAAGACCAGGTGCACATCGCCCTCGCTTCTCACTTTTGGGAGAACTTGTACACGTACCTGGACGAGCATCCGATGTTCCGCCATTACACGATTCCGCTGACAGACGAGCGTCTGTGATCGCCGCGTTGGCGCACGCGTGTATTCCCCTTTTTTATGGATTTGGCTGATTTGTTTTTGTGTTCTTCGAATTTCACGTTGTTTCTTCTGGTGCCTCAGAGACGTCTCCGCGTTTTGCGATTCGTGTCTTGCTAAGAACGGCGTTTCGAGCGCATCACGATTTCCATTTCTTTGGTGTGTTATTGTATCGATAATTGATGGTAATCATCCTTTAAAAAAAGGAAAACTCTTCGCGAGGTGCTTCTCCTTATCAACGACCGATGGCACGTGTCTGTTTCCAGCATGAGGGGCCGCAGAGGAAAGGGAAAGAGTGAAGAGCGAAACTGCAGGTGAGGCCGTTGGTGTACAACACCCTGTGCAACTTATGAGACGAAATGTGCTTCTACGAAGGGGAGAAGCACCCTTTTCATTGTTATTATATTGTGGCATCGGATGCGAAGGTGGCAGGCGGCGGTGTCTCTCGCTATTCTCTCTGTGTGTGCCTGCGGGTATAGATGTGTGAGTGGGTGGTTGAAGGCCACATTAGGCAGCCGATGTGTGTGTCTTCGTCCAGCGTGCTGCGTACGTAGAGTTGCGTACCCACGAGTATTTTCTTTATGTTTTTTTTTTCTGTTACACCAGTAGCAACGTGCATAATAAGAAAAGAAACCAAAAAAAGTGAGAGAGACCCCAAGAAATGCGGATTGAAGTAGCGTTTCGATTTCGTCTACGCCGTTGTTCAACGCCGACTTTTATCGATATGTGTGTGTGTGAGTGTGCGAGTGAAAATTGGTTTACCTGCGTTGTACGAAAGGATTTATGCGATGAACTCGCCTACATCGACAGTAACGCAGGAGTACAATATAGACAGTTGAGCCCTGCGTCATGCTGTGCGTGCGGCCGCACCGCAGCATCCAGAGCGTGCGTAATACAGATGCCTTTCGAAAAAGGGCAGGTGACTGTATCCGCAGCTCCTCTTAGCTTTCCGATGGTTGTTTCGATAGGAATCTGCAAGTGTTCTTTCTTTTTCTTTCTTTGTTTTTTTTTTTTTATAAGAGGAAGAGTTCTCGCCCAATCGGCGCTCACTTACCGTCAATTTTTCTTCTGTGGAATAGAAACAGAAAAGAAGATTTTAAGAAAGAAAAGAAATGCTGCGCCGTCTCTCAAACCGCTCCACGTCCTTCGTGACCGGCGCCGCCGTGCAGTCGCGCCACACCACCATTCTCTCCGTCCGCAAAGGCAACAAGGTGATTCTCATTGGTGACCGCCAGGTGACGCTGGGGGAGCGCATTGTGGCCAAGAGCAGCGCCTGCAAGCTGCGCAAGCTGAGCGACAACGTCGTCATCGGCTTTGCCGGCAGCACGGCGGACGCCTTCGCGCTCATGGAGAAGTTAGAGAACAAACTCAACGACTTTCCGGGTCAGCTTTCCCGTGCGGCGGTTGAACTGGCGAAGGACTGGCGTACCGACCGCGCGCTGCGTCGTCTGGAGGCGTCGCTTATCGTGTGCAGCAAGGAGGAGACGCTTGAGATCGATGGGCAGGGCAACGTTATCACACCCGAGGAGGACGGCATCATCGCCATCGGCTCCGGCGGCACGTACGCGAAGGCAGCTGCGCGTGCGCTGATTGATATCGAGGACTACGACGCGGAACGTATTGCGCGCAAGGCGATGAAGATCGCGACGGATATCGACGTCTTCAGCAACAGCAACTGGGACGTGGAGATGCTAACGCGCGACGAGGACGTCGTGAAAAAGGAGGAAGACGCGAAGACGTCCTCTCAGACAGCGACAGAGGAGAAGAAGGAGTAGTGTTGTGCGCGCGTTGCTCGTTTTATTCTCCCTTCTGTCATTAATGGATCTAAGATATATATACATATTACGTCAGATATTTCTGTGTGGCTGTCGTCCAGGTTGTTTTTGGTTGCGTTGCCACTTGTTTGTTTCCAACGTATCTCGTATTGACCGGAGAGGGGCATCCATCGTGCATGCTCTTCCCCTTGCCTTCCCTAGTACATCAGCGAGTCATGCACATCCGCATAGAGTGAGCGTAGTGTCTTGTTTTTGCCGTTTCATGCTGTTTTTCCTTCACCTCCTATTGTTATAAATAATCGATGCAAAGCAAACAAAAGAAAAACTGCTGTGGCTGCAGGCTTGCTTTCTAATGGAAGCGCCTTCTTTTGCCCCAAAAAGAAGTACTTGAAGTGAGAGACAGAAAGGCAACGGCCGTCCGTTTCTTTTTCGCATTTTCTCTCCCTCGTTCCTTTTTTCCCCCTTTTTGCCGAATGACATCGCACGGAGTGGTGCTGTTGTGTTCCGTGGGCAGCGGTATGTGAGGGCGGTCAGGATTGAAATACATGAATGCAGGCGTTAAAGCTCCCATGAGACGTCGACGCTTAAGAAAGCAGTCGGACTGCCTAGATCGTCGATGCAATGCTTTCACTCTCCGCTGTCTCTTCCACGTGCGCCTGCCCGTTTGCGTTCCGCGACATCAATCCTCCCGCACTCCCTTTGTTAAGGAAGCCACATCACACTCATATTAATCACAGCGGTCCGATCCAGGAAGCGCAACGATCCTTAACGCTGAACGCACGCTGCGTCTCACAGTTAAAGCCCCAATATTCCGCTTTTGGTTCTGTGCTTTCCGTTTGTGTGACAGGACTGAGGCACAGAGATCAGTTGTGCGTAGAAGGAACAGGGGAAACCAGCGCTATTCCACTGTTATTACATTCTGAGCTGTCAGCAGGCCAGAAGTTTCCAGGCGCAAACACACACACACACACACAAGAAGAACACTACGATCGTTTCTATAAAGATCTATTGTTGGTGCGCTTTACGGGTCAGCCGAGTTCCCCCTCCTCTTTTTTTTTCTTGAGGGATTCTTAATGGCTTCGAGATCGAAACCTAATCTAATCGTCTAACACTACGTTCACTAACCAAATACCTTAATCGATAAACCGCGAATAAAACTACTCGGAGGAAAATTAATTCAAAATTCTGTGAGATCTCTTACCGTCGTTTTGTTTTCTTCTGGTGTGAAATTGCCGTCACACTTGTCGAAACGTGCTCTTTTGGATCTTTTTTTTTTGAAGAGAAGAGTACACCCACCGATCAGCGAAGAACTAGTTGAACCCAATAACATACCACCATGCCACACGGCGCACACACGGACAACTCCGGCGCGACGAGCGCGAAAGCAAGTGCGACTTCTGCGAGCACCTCGTCCCCACCAGGTCGGCCACAGCACCGCGGTCGTGGACGCAACAGCTCAGCACAGAAGAGCGAAGACGACTTCTGTGTTGTAGAGCCCCAAGCAGTCGAAAAGACAGGTGAAAACTTTTCGTCCGCATCCCCCACAGTGACAAGGTGTGTGACGGCACCGCAGCCATGCAACCGAGTGTCACGCGGTGGTGGGAAGTGGCTGCGGCAGGGATTGAGAGGAAAGGTCAGCGGAGGCCAAGCACGGAGTCAATTCTCTCCTTCCGTGAATCCTGGTCATCCGTCGTCAAAGGTGAAGGCTACGTACTTGTCTCCCCTACCGCCCCCATTTCCTCCCATTGCGCTGCCTGCGTGGTGTCGATCTGCCTCTGCGATGGCGTACCCGCTTTCTGAGGATGGCCTCACGAACGAACTCGTGGACTTCTTCCACTACACCGAGCTGACGTCGCACGAGACGGCTGCACGAGCGCGACTGTTGCGTTGCGTCGAGGCGAGTGTGCAGGAGATGTGGAGCGCTTCGGCGTCGGACGAAAAGCCTATGGGGAAGACAGCGCAGGTTTCTCTGTACGGCAGCTTCGCCTTAGGGCTGTCTCTTCCGAGAAGCGACATCGACCTCGTCTTGTCGTTCCCCGCGGAGGAACGGCAGGAGGCGGAGGAAAGGCGCCTGCGTGCGTTGATGGGAAAAGCAGAGGACACGCCGGACGCGCTGGAGGCAGCGAGGGGGCGGCAGCAGCGTTCTCTGGAGCGGCTGCATGACCTTGCCGAACACCTCCGCCGCACGCATGCGCAGTCGCTGGTGGTGGAGGTGTACGACCAGTGTCGTGTGCCCCGCATTCACCTGCGTGACACCGCGGCGGACGGCGTCTCGTGCGACATTAACAGCTCCTTGACGTCGGAGCGCGTTGCCCGTGTCGTCGCTCGCCAGCAGCGGTGGCTCAAAAACGTCCCGCTCGCCGCCTTTCTCGTGCGAGTGACGAAGGCGGCGGTGCGGCAGTGGGATTTGAATGAAGTGTTTGCTGGCGGGTTGGCCTCGACTGCGTTGTATTGTCTCGTGCTGCGCTTCCTGGCACAGGCGGAGCAGCTGCACCGACACGCAAACTCTGAGGGGAAAAATTTGTCGCCGCCGCGCTACGAAGAGGCGACGCAGTCGGTGTCGTCTTCGCCGCTCAGCACTTCGACCTGCTGCTCTCCCCTCACTCCCTCTTCGCATACGACGAGCAGCGTATCCTTTGTGTCTCCTACCGCCGCACCGACTACGTCAGCGGTGGAGAACGGCTCTCTCTCCGCCTCTGAAACAGCTGCAGCGACGCCGATCGCGTCTTACGTGCCAAGCTGGGTGGTGGTCAGTAACAAGTCTGCCGCGGCTGTTGCGCTTCTCTCCAAGGTTACAAAGGGGGAGAAAGAGAACGCGAAGCCGACGGACGGCATTCCAACGATGAGTGGACACGGGTGTTCGCCTGACCAATCCCACAGCAACAGCGGCTGCCATAAAGAAACGGAAGAGGACGACAGCGACGATTCGGAGGTGGACGCATTGACACAGGAAGCCCTCACTGGGAGCTCGTGCGCGACCACCGCCGCGACTACGCCAACCAGCCGCTCCGCAACGATCACCCCGCCACTGTCGCTGTCGTCGTGCAGCTCGGGAGCGGTGTCGCGAGCACCGACGTCCCCTGTCGCCGCATCCTTCCTCACTTTCGGTGCCGCGGTGCAGAAGTATGGTGCGTGGGCCGACACGCCAGAGAAGACGCTGATGACCCACACCACTACGCACGACGACTTCCCATTGGCAGAGGAGCTGACGCGGATGGCGCAGGCCCGCTACGGGGCTTCTCCGGCACGTCTGCTGCTGAGGCTGTGGCGCGCACTCTCCGCGGACACCTTCCTCTCCGGCTACCAAGTGGCCGACGTCTTCGGCGACGATGCCACATGGGCGACGTGTGAATTGGAGGCATTTTCTGGCAAGCCGTCCGCACTGCCGGGTACGGCGGCGTTGGAGCTGGCCACGTACGCGAGCCGCCGTAACACCGACCTTTCCGCGCCGTCCTTCCGCCTTCCGGACCTGCTGGCACTGTTCCGCTGCTCGAGCGCGTCCCTGGACAACATGCTGCGCTTCCAGCGGTATCCCCGTCGAGCGGCGCCAACGATGCTGTCTACCATTTTCGTCGATCCACGGGCGCCGCTCTAGTTCCTAGAACTGACTTCTTCATTTTTTTAACTACTGTTTCTCTTCTTCACTCAGCCCCAGCGGCGTTGCTGCCGCGCTCTTTTTCCCTGCAATGTGTTCCTCAACGCGCTGGCGACTGCATTCTACACGTACGTGTGAGGACGTTTGCTTTGGTGTAGCTGCTTCTACGATTTCCGTTTTGGCGACCAGGCGTCAGTGTTTATTCTTATTTTTTTTCTCCTAATAGTGAATCCACCGTTTTGGAAAAGTTATATACACGCTGCTTTTTCTCTTGTACCTTGTGGCATCTACTGTACGCGCTTACTACTCCGTAAAAAGAGTTGTTTTCTTATATTGGCGAAGAACTATTAAAAAAAATATTCCTGCGTCGCGATCTTTTTCTCTCTTTCTCTCACTCTCTCGTGATACGTCCTAATCCGGCTTAATTGTTTCGCGCCATACTTGTACCCGACTGCGTTCTTTTCTTGACGATTCCTCTTGTCCGTATTCTCCACTTCTTCCTGTTTCTGAATGCGCGCGTGCGTGCGCTTAAGTGTACTTGAAAAGCTGTCGTAGGAATGAACTAATATGTTACCAAAAAAAAAAATTAAGGCTGTAAGAGGAGAATTGCTTTGAGGCATGCGGCGAGGGGAACTGGAGCAGTGCCAACGTAGCGAAGCGCAACGTATGCCTCCCATCGTTACTGTCAGTAGCGAGGAGAAGGGCGAAAAAGCTGAGTTTGTGTTCTTTCTGTGTTGACGGAGAATAGTCGGCCTAGAGCCAACGTGTGCCAACGTCAAACACTTCTTTCATCGCACTCTGTGTCCTTTAACAACGATATCCCGTCTTTCTCTCTCTGCCCCCAACGCAAAGTACTCAACTCGACGCAATTGAACATGACCACAGCTAACCTTTTGTGGGTATATAATGATGCTGTTCACGGAGCATTCATGCGAATTGCGTTAAACACTTTATTAAAAAAGGAAATACTCTCATATTATACTGACAGTTGCGTCAACTTACTTTTCTTTTCTCCCTCTTTCATTTCACCGCAGATCAAGAATGCCCATTCATCAATACGACGGCTGGTCGTACGAGAGGCTTCGTAAGCAGCGCAATCGCGCGCATTTCTTGCTGGAGGACCCTTACCGCTACGTCACTGTCCTGCTCGTCTCGAGGCCCGGCAAGCAAGACGAGCTGCGCTGCATCGACAGCCCCTGCTACCATGCCAACGGGCCCCTTGGAGAAGGTGATATTGTAGAGATTGAAGACATCCTATGCATTCGCTGCCCTACCCACCGCTACCTCGTCAGCATCGAAAGCGGAGAAGAGATTCTGCTCGAGGTGGACCCAAACTCTGCTCAAGGGGAGGCGCTGATCGGATGCCACGGCGCGATGCCGTGTTACCCAATGACCTCCGCGGATCCGTCCGCTGGCGGGGTAACGGTGGTGCACGGCAAAAAAGTGCAGCGGCTGCACTGCGCCTCGCTAGACGAAACATCGGGCGTGCTCTCGATTGAGGTGGAGGATGAAGCGATCATTCGGCAGCACCCGCTGCGGTCAGACCGGCCAGCGGAGAGCATCAAGAATGGCGGCATGTGCATGCAGATTTTTGACATTAAGATGCGCGGTCTGGATAAGCTGTGAAGCGACGTAAACGCGGAAAGGGAACTGCACTGATGTTGGTGGTATGGAGCACAATATTCACTTAACTTCAGCACGTGCGCTGCTGAGATGTTTTCTTTTTTTCACGTTTCGGTTTCCCTTCTCTCCATTGTTTATTGGTGCCACACTGCTCTATTCTTCACTTATGTCGTTTTCACTTACACCTTACTTGGAAGGAAGAGAATGATCTACTTAACGCTAACAAAACACTAGTGCGTGTTGATGTTGTTTGGCATGGTCCATTACAAGCGGGAAAAATGAGTTGCGCGGAATTCTAGGAGATCCTTGCTTAATCTGGGCAGCTGACTTGTTGCGATGCGCTAATGTGGTGGATTCGTTTTTTGTTTTGGTCCGTCTCCCTTACAGTGACAAGTATTCCGCGTATGATAAAAGAGAGAGAGAGAGAAAAGATACGCCTTTACTTTTACCTTTTCTTTCTGCCCCTCCTTTGCTCCTGTTCCGCGTGACCACGCGGCTACGTGTTCTTTTCACTTGCCTCAACTGCATCGCACAGCAGAGTGCGCACCGTATTCACCTTTCTGTTATACCCACCGCTGAGTCTTCCTTTCAGCATCTCTTTTTCCCCTCTATTCCTTCTCAAAAGATTTGTTTTTCTCTTTCGAGTGCGTATTGGCTTCTTATTGATAACCTTTTCTGTGAAGGGGTGTGGCTCTCCTGCGTTCTTCTCGTCCTCCTTGAGCCTTCGTTGTGGTACCGACGCGGGAAACGTGTGGTGTCATCGCAAATCCTCTCCTCGTGGCTTTTCTTGTTGTTGTTGTTGTTGGGAGCCGTTACCTTTCCTCCAACTAATCTCTCTCCATTTTATCAAAGCAAAACGCAAACGGTATATATAAGCTTTAAAAAGGAAGTAAAAAGCACGATGGACCATTTTTCGGATCAGCTAGTGACGCGTCTTACGCAGTTGACGCTGACGGATACGCAGATTCAGTCGTACGGCCGCTGGATGGTGGCAGCGGCGACGGTGTACTACGTGGCGCAGAGCTGGCAGAGGGATATCCCAGCAGATGTGCAGTACGCCATTACGGGCCACATGGTGCAGGGCTACGATCGCAGCATCATCAGCACGCGTCTCGAGCAGCGCCACACACGCAACATGATCCAGAAAGCGATCGGCTTGAATGAGCTCCGCCAGCAGCTGCGGACGGAGACGGACAAGGAAGCGAAGCTGCGTGGGTGGAAGCACGTGTTCCACCTGACGCTCATCAGCATCGTCGCCACCACCTACACTCACAGTCTCACCATCTCGCTCCTCTGCGTCAAGAACATGGTTCGTGTGCTGGTCTTCTTGCTGAGCCGTCGCGAGGCGGCGGGGCAGTTGGGCAGCCGTCAAGGCCCTTTTTCGACCATCAAGGCGTGGTGGACCGGCGGCCGTCGTGCCGGCTTCACGGGCATCATGATGGAGTCGATGCTCGCCAAGATGGCCGCGCAGGCCGACCAGCAGGCGTCGCCCTTCTCCAACGCGGGCTTGGAGGAGGAGGATGGACTGCACGGTCTGCCCACGCCGCCGCCGCTGGACGGGCGGGCGGCCTTTGTGCAGTCGCAGCAGCAGCAAGAGATGGTCGAGGCGATGCATGGCGAGAGTCTCCGCCAGATCGAAAACGCCTTCTCGGTGCGGGCGGTGCTAGAGCGGGCCATCCCACGCATCGTGGCGTGCGCCGCCGCCGTCGTGGACAGCGCTATTGCGGCGCGCCCCGAGCACCTCTTCAGTGCCAGCGGCATCGTGCGTGCGTCTGACCTGCGGAGTCTGTTGGAGGACATTGCCCTGCGCATGGAGCGCTGCGCCTGTGTGGCGGCCTGGGTGCGACGCTCGGGGTTCTCCCCGTTCTCCACGATGCGTCCGCACAGCAGCCGCTCGTCCCCGCCACCACCGGCGAAGAACGCAGACCCAACTTCCAGGCGGCGCTCCCCTATGCAGGACGAGGATGAGTTGATGGAAGACCGCGACCACGGCTCGGCCTCGTCGTCGGAGGACATCGTGGAGTTCCCCCACGGCTCTACCACAATTTTGGGCCCGAATGGGCGGCCGGTGCGACGCCACTCTTCCGACCGCAACGAGGACCACGTGGTGGACGAGATCCTCGGCCGCCATCTTACGGCGGAGGAGGAGGCAATTCAGGAGGAGGCGCTGCGCAGGGACCACCTGCTGAAGGGGCAGATGGCCGGCTTCTTCACGGAGCTGTACCAGAGTGCGAGCTTTGGTGAGGTGTGCATCACCTACGCGGCGGAGCTGTTGTCGAACCAGTTTAAGGAGGCCGGTGAGATTACGCACGTCAAGACGTACGACGCGTCGACGGACACGGCGAGGATGGCCATGGTGATCGCCGCGCTGGACAGCTGCCGGCTTAGCGCGTTGGAGGAGGAGTGTGAGGTGAAGTCGTACATGCGCCTCTTCTGCGACGAGACCATCAGGTCCACTTGTGCGCAGTAATCGTCAGCAACGGGGAATCGCTGTTGTTGTTTTTTTGCTGTCGCACCCTCGTACATCGCACCTCGCCAAATTCGTGCGAACAGCTCTACCGCATGGACACTACTATATATATATATATATCCCTCTCCTTCAAAAAAAAAAAACAACATGTTGAACCGACTCGTTTCCTCTGGCCTCGTGTAAATGTGTTCGCGTTGTGCTTTGGCGCGTTCTCAAAAAGAAGGAGAAATTTTAAACGCGTCCTTTCTCGTAATGGCGAAGAGCAACGTCGAAGAACGACGGTGCCGAACAGTTCGAACGTTCTACGCCATTGTGGGGGAGGTGCCAAGACATCTATGATAATATCGCTTCTCTTTTCGGTGCTGTAACTAAACCTAAAAAAGAAAGGAAGATAGAAAGCTTTTTCGTGGAGATCTTCTTTTGCATTCTTTGTCGAACACCTGCGTCAGACACGTTGGGGATTCAAATCGTTGCCCTCCATTCGTGTAATAAACCTCAATGGGATTTGCGGTGATGGGCGAAATCTGGAGAGCGGAGTTTACGTTGCTTGAAGCTGTCTTTGTGGAGAGCAGTACGTTGTTTCCCGAAGGTTCGGCACACTTCACGCTCTGCAACGAGCGGATGGAACCTTCTACGGTTGTGTTTTGCCTGGACCGAGAGTACGACAACTTGTCACTCCTTTCACCTGCGTGACTCCTTTGTTTTCAGAGTAAAACCGTTGTTCGCGGGGCAGGATTACTACCTCTTCTGTCTACATCGAGAACACAAACCTCGTAAAAGAGAAAAAGAATACGGATCGCGTTCAAAACGGGAAATAACTTCTGGACGTTGTCACTCTCCTTCTACATCTAAACAAGCAGGAAAGATGATGATGGACACGTCAACGAAGCAGATGGCCAACTGGGAGCGACTGCGTAATGAAGCTCGGCAGACGGATCAGCTCATTGAGCAGCAGCTACGGCGACTGGAAAGCGTAGCGCTCTTTGACGAATCAAAGATATTGAATAGCGATGAGGCATCGACCCCCGTCAATGGCAGCAGCTCTGCCGCCGTCTCCTCCCCGTTCCTAGGTGCCAGCTCGAGCGTTCATCACCATAGCGGCAGCAGCACTAACTCCCCGCCCGCTGCGCAGTCCATTGACGACCTGGAGTATCAATACCGCAGTGCCGATCGTGAGATTGAAGAGTCGCTGGGTCGTTTGCAGCAGACAATCGCGAGCATGGACGACGTGTGCCGAGAGCTGGGTCCCACTTCAGCGGCAGTGCGGCACACGGAGCGCTTCCACGGCCTCCTCGTGGAAAAGCAAAGTACGCGGCGTCGACTTGCAGCGGAGTTCCGCCAGCGCAAGGACCGTCACGAGCTTGCGGTATCGCGGCGTGCCGGCGACGCCCGCCGGCGTGGCAGTGGCGAGGACGATGGCGCCGGTGTGCGCATCCTGATGGACGAGCAGACCTCCATTCAGCACTCCCTCAGCCGTGTGAACGGCCTGATGGAGCAGGCAGAAGGCACGCGAGATCGACTGCGCGTGCAACGGGAGCGCTTCAACGACATGGGCGACAAGTTGGTGCTTATTGCGGAGCGCATTCCTTTTGTGAAGAATGTGCTGCACCGCATTGATGTACGGCGCCGACGCGAGGTGGTTGTGCTTGGCTCCGTCATGTCCTCTCTCATGTTCATCTTCTTCTTTTTCTTGTGAGATACTTTTTTCCACGAACAGGGAGAAGCGAAGCGAGGGTGCTGGACCGAAGTGTGCCAGACGCCTCTGGCAAGTAGCGCGTGTGGCGCTGAACGCAGATCATGTGCGTGCGAGAACTACACGGTTGTGACGAATAGCTCGTGGGGATGCTTTTGTTGTCGATGTTCCGCATTTATGCTTTCTCGTTCTATTACCTTTGGTTTATTAAAAAAAAAAAGGAAGAATGCTTGTAGCGAACGAAGTTGGGCGTCTTCGTTTTCTCGTTCTTTTGTTTCTGCTGCTCGTTCGGTTGATGATTCTGTTTATGGTGTCTTTGCTTCGTTTCACTCTGGCGTTGTCTGCGCGCCGGTGCTCCCCGTGCAGGGGAATTCCGTTGGCCTCGCATGCGCGGCGAACACGAATGGTGAAAGGCGCTGAAGAGACAGAAAGGGAGAGAGAGCGTCGGGCTTTTGCGTGGTGGCCATTTTTTTTTTCTCAAAACACCAAAAATAATGAAACATTCTTAACGTTGATACATTCTTATGAATGGACGAATTATGCAAACAAGGTGATGACGAGCGCACATTTTGGTCCATGCGACTCGAAGGTCGTCTTGCCGCGGTGGGTGCGTTTCGAGGGTTTAGACAACTTTGCACTTTAGCCGTAACGACGCTTTTTATTAGGTGAGAGGAGAGATCGGTGAGGCGAGACTGGCCTTTCAAGAGTTGCGCTCTTCTCCATTCCGAATCCGCAATTCTGCTTCTTCTCCTGAGGTGTTTTGAGTCTTAGGCGTTTACCTCTTCTTCTACTCTTTCCTTCAACTATCTGAACACTCTTTCACCGTTCGCTGCATCGATTGCAGTTGCCTTACAGCGGATCCACTTCGTTTTGGGCGTGTTGCGCTGATGCCTTGCTTTCTTTGGATGTCGGCTCATATCGGCATCACCCATTCAGTAGGCTTCACCCCACTCCCTTTCCCGATTTAGCGGTAGTTTTTTTCTACATTTTTATTGTGCTTTCAAAAGCCTTCAGCAACAAATACGTGTATAGTCTTGTATCTGTGCTACTTACAATTGCACGTTTCTTTTCATAGAAGGAAACAACGCCAAGCGAAAGGCGGATGCAAAGCCAAAGGTCAGATTATGTTGTTTTCTCCACCTTGTGTTCTTTCTCGCACCACCAGTTTTTTTTAACCCGCTAAGCTGCCTCTTTCCGCGTGTGTAACCCGTCAACTGCGCTTTCTTAGTTATCCAGCTCGCCCACATAGACTACTGGTTGTTTTGCCTGTCCTCCTCTGATATATATATTGTATCTTCCGTAGAGTTCTTTCATCCCTACTTATCCTTCAGCTTCTTCCTTTTCTGTGTGCGCCTTCTATACCCCCAAAAAGAAGGTATATCCCTTGCGAGCTCGCTCTCTTGCTATTATTGCTTCCACTTCTCATTAAAAGCCAACCTTCTTTTTTGTGGAGCCTTTCTTTTTTTCTTCTATTTTTCGTTGAGGCGGCTGCTGACGGTGGATGAAACGATCTCAAGATGTACGACGGCGGACCGCCAGCGCCTCATCTGCGACATCCACGTCCACTGCCAGCATCGGTGCAGCGCCGTCGGCGGCGGTGGCGCCCACGAAGCCCATCGAGGGGCGCGGCGGCAATATCACGCCGCGGCAAAAGCAGCGCGCCGCCCTGCGCATTTCCGTTCAACAACAAGGCAGGGACACTGATGACACCAATAGCACGCGGACCGAAGAAAACACTGTGTCGAGCAGCGGTGTGACGGTGACGAGCGGTCCCAGCAACGGCGCAGCGGACTTACAACAGGTGGATCGACACGGAGAAGATGGTCGCCACGCTGCGGTGGTGCAGGGGGTCACCTCCAGCGGTGCAACGCCGCCGTCCGCGTCCAGTACCGTGACACGAACACTTAGTTCCGGTGCCAGAAAAACTGCTTGTACATCTGGAAACGCTGCGGCTGCTGTCCCTTCCGCGACACCTGCCCACAGCACAGCACTTGCTGTTCAACCTGTCAAGCCAATACCCCGTGACAACGCCTCGCCCGCTGCCCCACGTAGCCTCACGGTGGGCACGACGCTCACGACACCCCCGCCGGCCGCTTCGATCAGCGTCTCCGCGAAACCGGCCGGCAGCTCGCGTGGTGTAGAGGCGACAGACGGTTGGACACCGCGCCGAAATAGCAGCACCGTCACGCAGGACGTCCACTCCAGCCCCACGTCGGGCCCTTCGCCGATGTCCGTAGCGTCTCCGTTGCGGCAGTGCTCAGCGCGGCGCCGTGACAGCGGCGTCAACGCCAGTCTGAGCTCGTCCCGTAGTCAAACAACGCAGGCGAGTTGGCGGCTGGACGTCCCATCTGTCGTGAAGGTCGCGCCGCGGCTACGACCGGGCCCTCCGTCTCCCCTGGAGCAGCAGCTGCTCGACGAGGGCTATTATTTGGTGTCGGACGGCAGCGTCAACTCTAGCTTTTCCGACACCCCGCGGTCTGCCCGCCCCGCCTCGCTCGGCAGCACGTCGTCACGACAGACGTCCATGCGGGTGCTGGACCTTAACACAGGGAGTCGGGCCGCGGCTATCTCCGCAGGCGCGGTACCACCACCACCACCTATTTACGGCGCAGGAACTCCACATCAAGCGGTTCGACAGGAAAGTGGCAGTGGGCCCGGTGGCGGTGTTGGCACCAGTTCTAGCAGCGAGGGCAGCAGCAGCAGCGGCCGCAGCGAGGTCAACGTATACGAGGAAGACGACGGCGACGTCCATTACGACGAGGAGGATGAGGAGCAGGCCGTGCTGACGTACATGGACTCCGGTGCGGAGGTGAGCTTCCGGCAACGACGCTCCGGGTCCGGCCGATTGCCTTCTCCGCTCACGCTCCGGCGGTCCAACGGGAGCGTCGTCGACGCCGTGAACAGTGGTGCCGGTGCTGGTGAAGACGGAGACGAGCCACATCGCAGCGATGATAGCGGCCCTCCCAGTCGCCTCTCTGTCAGCTCACCACCGCGGTTGTATCGCCGCGGGACGTCATCGCTGCGGAACCACTCCCCGACCCAGGAGCCGCGACTGCCCACGTACATACGGACGAAGTCGACTGCAGGTGGTGGTAATGGCGGTGAGATGAACACGCCGCCGCAGGCATCTCCCGTGTTTTCCGCTAAGCCGGCGCCTGCACCACCACCGCCAATGTCGGCCGGTGCGTCGCTGACATCACTTTCCCGTCAGCCCTCGTCACGCCGCAGTCCGCACAACCGACCTGCGAGCCAGTCGCCGGTGCAAACGTCGCCGCTGAACCCGTTCTCGCTCTCACCGTACGGCGCCGCCGCGTCTGCAGACGAGGAGACGTGCGAGCGGCAGTGCAAGCTTCTCAGCCTGCACGAAGCGTTTTTCTTCAATCAAAGTCGAAGATTTTGGCTCGTGGACGACCAGGTGCTCGCCAAGGTGCTGGAGTACGTGCGATTGATGGGGTATGAACACCCCGCCCTAAAGCGCGATCGCAGCAAAGGCCAGCCGTCTCTCTGGAGCAGCAGCAGCGCCATTAGCTCACCTATTGCTCCTGGAAAACTGAAGAAGAAGTCTGCTGCTACGCCCGCTGCTGCCGCGCCGCTGAACGCGTCGAAAGAGCTGAACGGGGAGGCCATTCCAAACCCGCAGACCTCGCCGTCCGCCGCGGCGGCAGCGCTGGCAGATGCGGTGTCGCAGTCAAACCCCGCTGCCGGAGGCGCCGTCGACGGTGGTGCCAAGGACGCCAACGTGAACAACCCCAACGCCTTCCTGGGAAAGCAGTACCACCTAAAATCGGTCAAACCGAAGTGCGCGGGCCAGTACGCCAACACCACCTCCACCTCCGCCACCCATCTCTTTCTCACCTTCAACGAGGCGCTGCGGTGGGTTGTGGAGCAGGAGTACGTGATCGGCGCCGTACTGATGTGCTGTGCGCGCTTCATTGGCGATGCGGAGGCCGACGGCGCCGCCATCATCGGGGACGGCACGGCGGACGGTGCAGCGTGGCACCCGCGGCGTGCGATGCTGCAGCGCGGTAAGCCGTGCATCCCCGTGCGGCTGCACCCCATCCACTTCGTCGCGTCGCTCGTGCTGACGCACTACCCGCAGTGGGGCGGCATGACCGCCTTCATGCGTATCTGGGAGACACAGATTGGCCTCGTCCTGGGCAGCGCCTCCTCGCCGCACCAGCGCGTCTTCAAGTGCCCAGACGACGGGCTGATTTTGAGCTCCGACCTGGATGCGGGCAATCTGCACCGGGTCGAGCGGGCGCCTGAGCCGTACTTCTTTTTGATCTGGCTGGAGCCCGACAAGGGGAGCGACAAGCGCATTTGGTTTCGCTTTTCCGTTGCGGGTGCCACGGAGGGCCGCACCCTGCGCTTCCGTCTCATGAACGCCGCCCCTCACGCGAAGCTCTATCGACAAAACGGGATGATGCCGGTGTGGCGCGATGGACTGAGTCAGGTGAACTGGGGCCCGGTGGACTCCTGCACCTTCCGCACCACCAACCACGACCTTGACGGCGAGGTGTGCTTTTCGATTCTGGTGAAGAACTCTACCGAAACGATCCAGATCGCCTTTTGCGCCCCGTACAGTTACGCGGACCTTCTCTGTCACGTGTGCCACTGGCACTCCCTCGTGAAGAACAGCGGGTGCGACATGCGTTTCGAGGAGCGGGTGCTCTGCCGCAGCCCGGAAGGGCGTAAGCTGCACTTGCTGATCATCACGAGCCGCACAGGCGGGCCGCCAAAGTCGAGTCGCGAAAATAATCAAAAAGTCAAGGGCGGCGGCAGCAGCGGGGCAGCAGGAAATGCCAACGCACAGCAAGGCAGTGGAACTGCTGGTGGTGGTGGTGCCGCGGGAGCGGCGGGGAGTGCACTGAGTGCTGGCAATAGCAACGGAACTACCGGCGCCGCCGCGTCTAACCTGATCAGCTCCCCCTCGACCAGCTCCGCAAACAAGACAAAGAGCGCCGCCGCCGCCGAAGCTGTCCACGGCCCCTACTCGAACTTCTCCTCCGGCAAGAAAGTTATCTTGGTGAGCGGACGCGTGCACCCGGGCGAGGTCACCGCCTCCCACGGCGTGCACGGCCTCATCTCCTTCCTACTCTCCAGCGACCCACGAGCCATCCTGCTGCGGGAACACTTCATCTTCTTCATTGTGCCGATGCTGAACCCGGACGGCGTGAGCCGCGGGCACTCACGGCTCGACCAGTTCGGCAACAACCTCAATCGATGCTACAACGACCCGGACCCCGAGACGCAGCCAACTGTGCTCGCCCTGCGTTGCGTCTTTGAGCATTTGCAACGCACCTACCGTGAGCGCTTCATCATGTACCTCGACTTCCACTCCCACGCCTCGCAATCTAGTGGGTTCATGTTTGGCAACAACCTCCCGGTCCGCGTGCAGCACTGGAATGTCTTTTTCCCACGGCTGGTGGAGCTGCACGCGCGGCACGTCTTCTCGTTTGACTTGTCCCGCTTTGGACGGGTGCACATGACCAGCAAAGACGGCGCGTCCCGCGTGCTCTTCGGCAGCAGTTTGATCCACAGCTACACGGTCGAGCTGACGCACTTCACTGACCGCCGCCTTTACGCCGATGACTTCGCCGCGATGAACAACGGCAGTGCGGTCCTGTTGGAGGTGACGTGGCCGCCGCTGCATCCCGCACCCGGGCCGTCGATCGACAACGGCGTGGAGGAGGCTGAGAACAGCAAAGGCGGGTCACGCAGCGTCAACAGCGCGTCCCCGCCAGCGCGAGCTGCGCCGTCGGGCCTTGACGGATGCGGTGGGCAGCGTACGAATTCCTCTGCTGTGCGCTCCGGCAAGTCTCAGTCGTTGAGTATGGCAGGTGCGCGCCAACGCGCGGCCTCTGCCGTTGCTGGAGCGAAACACAGTACTGCGGCGGCGGCTACAAATGGTAAAGGCGAGGCAGTCGCAGCACGAAAACGTGGGACGTCGGTCGGTGTTAGCAAACGCGTGGCCAGTGGACGAAGCCGCGATACCGCCAGCACCTCTGCCTCGTCGCTCCGACTTCTCCGCAGCGGCCCTTTGCTTCAGCCCGTCTCCAGTCCCAGTGTTCTCTGCCAGAGTGCGGAAGTGGGCAAGGCGTGCTTGCTGGCCCTGCTGGATTACTGCTCCATTGGACGACAGTCGGATGAACTGAGCGCGTTTGGTGGCATGAGTCGCGTCCTACGCGATGTAAAGCGGCGGATGAAGGCATCTGCACCGTCGTCGCCACGAAAGCCGAAGAAGTCGCAGGCTGCCGCGACCTACGCTGGAATCCAGCCTATTTACAAGCAATACTAGCCAAGGCCGTTTTTCTTATACAATCGTTTTTCTAGCCGAGGTTATGGCTGCGTGTTCCTTCTCTACTTTGGTGGTTCGCTTTCCTCCTCCCCGCTCCCATCGTTCCACAATTGTACATTACTCTCGTCTTCTCTTTTATTATTAATATTTCTTTACAGTTTTTTTTTTAGGTTACACGAGACTTTCTGTTGTTGTTTCTTCAACCTCGAGCGCGCTACGCGGCTTTTCGTTTCCAACAGCGGAGCGCTTTCTTCCACGAAAAAAACAACAACCAACATTTCGATAATAAAACAGTAGAGTAACGATGAAGAAACGGACGCTCGAGAAGCTGGTTCATATTATTATTTGGTGCTGTTGCGGCTATCGCAACGTTCTGCATCCTTTGCATTTTTTTATTTTTTGCTCTCCTCCTTTTATTGTTATCTTTTCTCCCTCCCATTTGCGACATAAGTGAGCAGGCGCAGCTGCACGCATGCCAGACGAAGAATTCAGCCCAAGCAAATTAGAAAAGAATAATGACACCAGAAGAAAGAACGAAAAGAGTTAGCGCGCGAGATGAAAAAAAAAGCGTTGTTTCTTTTTTGACTTTTTTTAACATCTTTAGTTTAATTTCCTGCGTCGCCGCGAGGATGAACCGTGTGGACAACGCCTACAACGCACACAACAACAACGATTTCTTCCTTTTCCCCCTTGCTATTCTACTCTATTGATTTACTGTTCCTGGGCTAGAAATCGACCGCAACACGCAGCGGATCAGCCGTGAACATACATACGCGTAAAACTATTCACAAACAAATACAAGCTTTTCTTTCCATAGATCAACACTTCAGCGCACTCACAACTACAAGAGAAAAATGAGCGCGCCTTCTGATGCATTGGCCGACAAGCCCGAGGCGGTCGAGGAGGTACAACCGACCACGGAGCCGGAGTTGGAGAGGGCAGCGGAGGCTAGTACATCGGAGGACCACGGTAGCGAGGAGGACAGTGGCAAAGATAGCGAAGACGCCGGCAGCGAAGACGAAGAAGGCGCAGAAGACGAGGAAGACGAGGAAGACGACGACGCGGCCTTTCAATTTCCCACCGACGAGGCAGCGGAAGCGGAGCGCCAACGCGGCCTCGTGGCGTACAACGAGGGCCGCTTCGAGGATGCGCTGGATGTTCAGTACCGCGTGGTGCGCCACTTCTCCAACAAGTACGGCTCCACCTCCGCCAAGTGCGGCAAGTACTTCCTCGACTACGGCCTGTCTCAGCTGCGTCTCTTGCAAGGACAGACCACCGTGGACGACGTGCTGCAGCCCCGTGACGAGGACGCGCTCATGACGTGCTACGTGAACTTAGAAGTGGCCCGGGTTTGCTACCAAAAGCTGGAGGCGGAGCGCGGGGAGGACGATGTGGAGGTGGAGTTGGCCCTCGCGGAGGTGCACAACGCACTCGCCCAGCTCTCGGTAGAGAAGGAAGACTATGACGCCGCGCTGCGGGAGTACGAGGCGGAGCTGCTGCAGTACCGCGCTCTGCAGGACGCCGCGGAGGAGCCGGACAAGTTGACGGTGGTGCCCGCCGGTCGGGTGGTGGCGGTGCTGTATGGCATTGCGGACTGCTTTATGAAGGAGGGCGACTTTGAGGGGGCGGAGGAGCGTCTGCAGGCGACGCTGACGGAGGTGGCGCTGTACCCCGCCGGCACCCTCTCCGACGCCCTCCTCACCGAGCTGAAGGAAGTGCTGGCCGAGGCGCAGGAAATGAAGGGCGGCAAGTTCCAAGAAATCCAAGACGCGATCAAGCATCAATTCGCGGCTGAGGCGGAGCAGATCCCTAACCCGCAGGAGTTCTTCTCGATTGATACGGAGGGCAAACACCCGTTCCTCTCCGCCGTGCCGGGCGCCAGCGGGGACGAGGTGGGAGACCACTCCTACCTCTCCATGCCGATGTCCGCCAGTGGGCAGGCGCTGGCAACGAATGAGCACAGTAATAGTCTATCCGTATCACTCTTCCCTCCGCAGGGGAGCCGCAGCAACACGCCGGGTGGGCCGGTGCAGCACGCTACGGTGCGCAAGAAGCAGAAGCGCACGGGCGACGACTCCCTGTCGAACGCGCAGCCGGAGAACAAAAAACCGCGCGCAGAGCCGGCTGCGTCGTCGTAGAATGTGAGGCGACGTTTGAGGGGGGGGGGGGAGGGAGAGGAAGAGGGGCAGAGAGAAAGCAAAGCATGCGTGACTCAACTCCTCTTGGGAGAGAGAAGCCGGGACGGGTTCGGTTCTCCGCTCTCTCTTTTCTGTGGCTGTTGTCGTTCGTCTTTCCTTTATTGATCTCCTTGCAGCGTGCTCCTCTTGTCCTTCTCTCCCTTCATACTTTTTTTTGGCATAGAGCGTGTTGTTTCGTGATGCTTTGAATTGAATCGTCTGAATTTATTTATTGAAAAAATAGACGAAGCAAATGGACTTTCTCTTGTTTCTTTTTTATTTCCGCAAGGTTTGTCGCCGTGCTGTCGCGACAAAGCACTGTTGCCTTTCTTTCTCATATTTCGGCGTTTATATTTGAAGTTGAGTGTGAAACGACAACATCAAGCAAACAAGTTCTGACAGGACTGTGTCGCGTGCGGAAACTGAGTGGGCCGGTGACTGTTCCCCATCCCTGAAGGAGCCCGAAGTAGGAGTCGGCAAAATATCACCTGCACTTGTTTCTGCCCTTCCTTTCCTTCTTTCCATCTCGTGCAAACACAGCCAAATCGCTCTGAAGAACAGTGAGGAGCAGTCACATAAACACTGGTGCCAGTCGCCGTGTTCCTCTGCGCCTGCGGCATATCGCAGAACGTCGGTAGGGTGATGTATTTGCTGTTTGTCGTCCGCAGCTTCGTCGCAGCTTTTGTTGAATCCACTAACTTTTCCTTTGCTCCTGTTCTTCTGCTTTCGTTGCCTCTTTTGCTGCTGCCACGTGAACTTCCCTCCCGATAATGTACCGCTCTGGTGACAAGCTTCGACACGACAACAGCAAAGAGGAGGTCATCGAGATTGCGTTACTACCGGCAGCATCTTCTCCTCTTTCCCTTTTTTAAAAAACTGATGCAGCGCACCATGGCCACCAAAGCCGCATGTAGTTTTCTCTACGACAGCCATTGTCATCTTCGCGAGGCAGCGCTCTGCGAGACAGCGGAAACGGCTGCCACTGCCGCTGCCTCCTCCTGCGCTCTTGATGACGGGCGATCGAGCGTGATGAGCATCGTGCTCTGTGGAACGCACCCGCAGCTCGATTGGGACCTGGTGGCCAAGGCGATCATCAAGCCCAACGGGGTCCACAAAATCCCTGGATTTGGCGTGCACCCGTGGCTTGTACCCGCTTCTCCACCTCAAACCCCAGAAGCGAAGTTGACGAATCCGGTGTCGGCTCCGGTGGCACCCTCTGCGCAAAGAAGAGGAGCGGGTGGCGGCTGTTGCAGTGCTGCCCCCGCCGACGCCTCCGCGCACCTCTCCCTGTCCCTCGCAGAGATATTGGCGGAGTTAGAGGGTCGACTGCGCACTTTCCCTCGCGCCATCGTGGCTGAAATCGGGTTGGACAAGCTGCGCGGCCCGCCCGAGGCAGTACAGAAAGAAGCTTTTGTTGCACAGCTCCGCATCGCCGCCGCCCATCAGCGACCCGTTTCCGTGCATTGCGTACGGCACTATGGACTGCTCCTGCAACTCCTTCAGGACTTGCCGGCCGAGGACACCCCGCCAGCGATCATCCTGCACGCCTTCACTGGCTCGCTGGAGGTGGCGAAGTCGCTGCTAAACTTGAAGAACAAAAAGCGCACGAAAGCGAAGTTGAAAGATGTGCCGGCGATGTCTGCTTCAACGCAATCGAAAAAGGGCAGTGACTGCACTGAAGCTTCCGCGCCGCAACCCAAGAAGACGAAACGCGGTGGCGGCCCCTCCGCGGGCACGGTGCGCATCAACGAGCGCATCTTCTTTGGTGTCGGCCTCTCCACAAGTTTTACAGTGAAGAACTTCTCTACGCAAACACTGCCGTGTTTATTGAGTGCGCAGAAAGTTCTTCTAGAGACCGACGCGCATTACGGCGGCGAGCGCGACTGCGGCTGCGACGGAGAGGCGACGGGGGGCAACGCGACCGCCGGCGTGTACGTGAGCGCGCGGGAGCACGCGGCGCAGTTGGAGGAAGTAATGCGAATCGTGGCGGTCACCGCATTGCAGAGCGCCGAGTTGGCGAAGTCGGCGCAGGCGTCGGGACTTGCTCCAGATGTGCTGGTGCGTCAGTCCGTCACCGCCGCCTACGCGACCGCCTTCCGTTCAGTTTTGCATTAACGTGCGCACCTCTCGCATGTTTCAGCTGCGGCTGGTGTTTTTGCTGTTCATTGTACCCCTTCCGTGAATCCAGTATGACAGCTCTGCGTGAGCACGGCCCTCTCGCATTTACCCTAAAAAAACGCTGAAACTGAGAACATAAAAAAAATGTCGCACAGTAATGAATAACAAGATCTCTCTCTGTTTGCTTCTCTACCTACTACTGACACCGCAAGCGCTTTTTCTTTTCGCCTTGCTGGTCCTTTTCAGTGTGGCGGACCGCGACGCTGGATAAAGGCGGTTTGATCAATGTGTTTCTTCACCGTTTCCTCACTGTGTTTCACTCCTTTTCTTTCACGATCTTTGCCTCTCGCTGTGCCCTTGTCTTCCTGCAACTCTTTGTCTTGCTGATAACTGGCGGGCACCTAAATCTCAAAACCCACACGTACACACACACACACACACACCGAGAGGGAAATACAAGGCTGCTACACGTCTATCAAGATCCTCTAACCACTTAAAGCGCCCGATTACGCTCACTTTTGTTCTTTGTATTACTTTCAACAGTGCTACTTTCCTTTTGATTCTCTTCTCTCTTTTTTTTTTTTAACACTGACTGCGCACCAAACTCTTTTCCAAGGTGCTTGACGGCTACGCAATTCAATCCCCAAAGAGAAGAGAGTCCACTTACTACAAACCATCACGAATTATTCAATTACCCCAACTTTTATATAACCAACTCATTACTTATTTTTTTGCTTGTTTTCTGCTTAGACTGCCCACTGTTTGGACTGCAGCGTCTTTTTTTTCCGTGTATGTGTGCTTACGACTATATGTCTTTTTCTCGCTGTGCCCTAAGTGCTTCTCTTTCTTCTCACTCTTTGCTTTTCGAGTATTTACTGTTGTCCGTTGCACGCTGCAGCTCAAAAACAATATCAAATTACCTCGCAAGATTTGTACCTGTCGCGCTCTCTTTTCTGGTTTCGGTAGGTCTCTTTTATCTGATCTCTCGTCAGACACACGGAGTCATTCGCACTTGCACAAGCGTTAACAAAAGTAGGGACTACGGGAAAGCAGAGGAAAGGCTCCTCAGCCGCGACATGCCTCGCCTCCTCAGCGTCGCACAGGCGGAGTTCCCTCACACATTTTCTGCCACCGCCTTTCCGCACTCCCTGCAGGGCCGACGAAACGGGAACGCGCTCGAGGAGGCAGCCATGGAGGTGCCGTGGAATGGCAGCGATGATGATGTTCGGTCGGTGGCAAGGATCATCACCGCTTCCTTTCTTTCTCCGCAGCAGAGCACTCCCCCAACAGCGTCTGCGTCTTCGCAGCAAAGCCGGCAGAGTCTCTGCATGGGATAGAGTGCTGTGATGGCGTTGCAACGCTTGTTTTTTTTGTGTGTGTGCATGGGTTTTACGTCTCCCGAGAAACCAATCTTCTATTGGATGCAAAAGAGGTGAGGAACGTGTGATGGGAAAGAGGACAGATGTGGGGTCTGTCATGTGTTTGGCAACACGGCACCCCACCGTATTTTCCTTTTTTATTGCTACTTCACGTGCTCCTCATTTCTTTTGCATCTAATAGAAGATCGGTTTCTTTTTTTTTTTGGGGGGGGGGGACGTAAAACACGCACACACCCAAAGACAAGCATTATGACGCAACCACAGAGTTTCTACCTCAGGCGCATGCTTTTCATTGCTTATCCTTTTTATTTTCTTTTTGGTTTTCATCACTATTGCTAACTTCATACAGTGAAATGGCTTTTGGCTGTTCACCCTCTTTTTTCTGTTTCGTGCGGATTCGCTTTCGTTGTCATGATGCATCGCTTTGCTTCCGAGCTTTTGTTCTCAGTTGTTTCCTTTGGTCGCTGTGTGCTGTGTTACCTTGCAGTGTTTGCGAGGAGAGACAAGGAGACCAAGGAAAGAGGAAACGCTGCAAAACGCTGCCGGTTCTCTGTGTACCAGCGCCGAACCCTCCTTTTCTAAATAAGCTTCATTCTTTTTCTTTTCTAGCCGACGCTGTTTTCGAAACTTATTTTTTCTTTCCTTTTTACGTGAAGCCGCAGTCAAAGCAAATATCTACAATGGCGGCATGATTACAAATGATAAAGGAAATGTAGCCGGAAAAGTGTTGTGAAAGTGCTCGATGCGTGCCCTCCAAGTCGCGCTTGTTAGTGTCATCTTTTAGTGGAAGTTGATGTCTTGTTTCCCCTCTTTCTTTCTTCCACCGTGGTGACTGTTTCACATCCGTGTCTCGATGCTCTTACCGATCCTTTCACAACTCGCCTCATCTTGAGTATCTTCCCTTTCGTTAACATCTTTTTGTGTATGTGTGTGTGTTCCGCACATCTTCAACACGCTCCCTCAAAGAGCACTACCATATATTTACGCGGCCCTCCCCTCGCGTGTTAACAGTCGAATGAGAAGGTGCGTACGAATTAATCCTTTCTATCCACCCTATAGAAGCCTCTGAAAGCTGTTCTTCTCACCCTCATCAAGTAACCTCCAAGATTCGCCATCAATCAATACGTACACAGACTGACCGGCAAAAGCTGTCGGTCAAGAGGAAAGAGGAAAGAAAAATTACATTACCACATAGAAGTACTCTGAGATGTTCTTCTGGGGCAGCTACAACTTTCAGGAGCCGCAGCAGACGGAGCACCCCGATCGCCCACCGCTGCGGTACCCTGCCTACCTGCCCCCTTCGCTGTCGGTGCTCCATCGCAGCAGCCCTGCCTCACCTGCGATCACCGCATCGACTTCCTCCTCATCGCTGCTCTCCGACGCAGCCGCGGTGCAGGAGGCGCTGCGGCAGATTAAAGCGCATCGCATGCAGGTGCACCACATTGCTTGCGGGACGAAGCACCTTGTCGCGGCTGTGAGTCTCACCCAGGCAGATCATGTAGCGGAGGCGTCTGCGGGGCCGCAGCAACCGCACCAGCAGCGCATCATCGCCCTCTATGGAATGGGCAGCAATGAGTACGGCCAACTTGGTCACCACGTTGCGAATTACGCCACGACGTTGACTCACCTACTCCTGGAGGATGTGATGGAAGGCATGGTGGTGAGCGTTGCGTGCGGGGCCCGGCACACCCTCGTCTGCACCTCCACCGGCTGCGTCTACGTGGCCGGCGACAACTCGTCGCATCAGCTTGGCCTGCCCGGTCAGATGGTGAAGCCGCTTCCGAAAGGTGGTAGCTACGCGCCGAGCTTTACCCAGCTGACGAGCCTCGCCCACATTCAGGCCGTCTACGCCAACGGCAGCGCCTCCTTTGCCCTCGACCGCCGCGGGCAGGTGTACTCGTGGGGTGAGGCGAAGTACGGCCACCTCGGCCACAACGACAACGGCGAGCGGATGGACCCGCAGACACTGAAGCTCATCTCGGTGGACGTGCCGTTGCCGCAGCTCGTGCGCTGGTTTGAGCGGCATCGCGTGGCCATCGTGGAGGTGTCAGTTGGAAAGGGCCACATGGTGTGCCGAAGTGAGACGGACGTCTACACCTGCGGCGAGCCCTTCTTTGGCAAACTCGGCCACGGGGACATCGATCCTCGCCTGGAACCGACACGGGTGGAATTCCCGCCGCGCAAGCAGGTCGAGAAGCTTGTTGGCATCGCCGCCGGGGACGACCACACGTTGGTGCTGAAGGAGAATCCCCTCATCGGATCGATTGTGTACTTTTTTGGCAAGTTGAGCAACTCGGATGGACAGCTGCGGCCAACGATTGTGCAGATCCCGACAACGTCGATCCGCATGGTCGTGGGGGGCCGTGGTACTCTGTGTGCCGCCGTCACGCTCGAGGGCCATTTGTATGTGTGGGGCAAGCACTCCTACCAAAAGGTGTACAACGGCACCAACGCCACGGCGCCGCGTGCGCAGCCGTGCAAGGTGCACCTGCTCGACAAGTACAACATTGCCGGACTCGTGTCGGGTGGAACGTTTATGGTGGCGTACGCGGCGGAGGGCGCAGTGGCGCCGTTGGTTGCCGCTGACTCCACCGCAGCGGCGGAAGGTGTCGGCAACAATGGTAGAGAACACAAAGAAGAAGAGGAGGGAAAGGAGAAGAAGGAGTCGTCGGTGAAGGCGGAAGAGGAACGAGGCGGCCCATCGGTCTCGTCTGCTTCTCCTTCCGTGGCGCGCAGCTGGGACGTCGTCGTGCCGCACGACGCGCGTGTGGGCCGCGACGGCGTCGGCGACCCGGACGAGGACTACGAGGAAGGCGTGCGAGCGCTGCTGCGGCAGTACCTCGGCCCTGGCCTCGGTGCCGCGTACATCGCCCAGCTGCCCGCCCACCCTACCCGCTCCGCCGCGCACGTCTACGCGTTTGCGCACATCCCTGTACAGGAGTTGTCGCGGGGGCAGAAGGTGCGGCTGTGGATGACAGACGTGTACGCCGTCGGCACCGTGGTCGACAACTCGCCGAGTGAACCACGCGGCTTTTCGGCCAGTCAGGGCGGCCCGTCGCCGTCGCGCTCGCAGACGCCGGTCGCCGGAGGAGAGGAGTCGGAGTCGCCTTCACCACCGGCGGGGAAGCGGGTGAAGATCGAGTGGCAGCGCGACGATTGGGATGATGAGGTGATCACCCTCTACTCGGAAGACGAGACTCTTGACGCGGAGAACGCCAACCGCTGGCAGCCGTTTTGGTTTGAGCAGGATGTCACGGGCGAGTACGTTATCGCAAAGAGCCGGAAATAAGAAATGGGAAGAGCGTGGTCTTTGGTATGTTTTTTTTTGTGTTTTGTGTGTGTGTGTGTGCGTGTTGTATCAGAAGTCAACGATTTTCGTAGACGTTGTAAAGGAAGAGTGTACTGGGGGAGTTGTTCTTTCCTTTGCGGTGCCAACGTCTGTGCGTTTCACAGGATTTCTTATGTACACACATCTTTCTGCGCATTTCTGTGAGTGAGTGTGTGAGTGCGGGGGGATGGGTTAAGCCGCTGAGGAGGCACGAAAGAAAGAAAGAATACCCTTACTGAAATCGTGGCCGGTTCTGTGAATTCTGTCACAACTGGATGCCCCTATGAAAGAGTCTTTTTGTATCTTTGAGCTCGTTCTACATCATCAAGAGAATAGTGAGGAGGAGTATTTAGTTGGAGAACCCCATTTCTTGTTCTGTAGGTTCCCGAAAGCATTTCACCATCACCACTTTCGAATGCGTTATCTTTTAGGATCGTCGTTTCTCCATTTTCCTTTCTTCTTCCTTTCTTGTTCTGTAGCGTAATTTGCACATCATTGCCATCAAACTGCAGCACCTCCGTGGATCGTAACGAAAAAGGAACAATCCACCTCTTGATTTTTGCTTCGGTTGCCGAAGTTGATCGCTTGATATCTGCCCTCGTTGCCACTGCCGGATGCTATCTCGGCTCGTGACCTCGTCATCTGTCTTTTAGAACCTCTTTGAAGACCCCTCCCTCGGGAAGGGACAATTCTGAAGGAGGTGTAACGCGACAGAGAGATTGTGTGGTGCGGTGCCGCCGCCGAGCTAAAAAAGAAAAACGAAAAAGAAACTGCTGCATCTCTCCTATCTTACTTTCGCGGCGGTATCAGATTCGTGAAAGCTATCAGTGCGTGTGGAAGCACAGGAGAAAGTGCTGGCCCCACGTCGCCATGGACTTACGAGGTAGACAGAGTCTAGTAAGTAGCTTTGTCAATCCTACCTACTTAGGCAACGAATGGCCCGAAAGCTTGGATTGTCACTTTTACAAGTATTATAGCTGCTGTTGCTGTTTGGACACCCTCTGTGTCTCACTCCTTCTTCCTTCGAATTTGCTCCAAACACGGATTTCCCTTTTTTATTTTTTATTTTGGAACAGTGAGTGCTCGACACAACTGAGCAGTGTGGAGCTAAACAATGGTTGAGATCGTACTACCAGAAGGCGATCCCTGCTGTTTTATCTGTTTTCTGCTCAGACACCTAATCCCCATTACTCTTGGCGTTTTGCTCGCTGACTCGAATACATCTTGAAGCTACTTCTTCCTTACTCGCACAAGAGCGCACAAATGGCTTTCACTCTTCGCCGTTTCTGCTGCAGTGTTGCCTTCGGCTTCACTGCCTCCCCTTTCATCCGAGGGGCGGGCGTAGCCTTTTGTGAGTCCGTCAGCACACCGAGTCCCAGCACCTCTAGCGGCAGTTTCTTTAGTCGCTTTACCTCTAAGTCGGACTCCGATTACGTACGAACCTGGGGCGTGAAGTGGGTGGAGGACTGGGATCGACCTGCCGTGCGCGGCATCCGCGACGATCGCAGCTCATCCATTCAGCGACAGATTATTCTTATTCGTCACGGACAGTACGAAAGCGAAACTCAAGACGACGACAGTATTCGCTGTCTAACTCCGCTGGGTGTGAAGCAGGCCCGCGCCACCGGTGTGTACCTGCAGAAGCTCTTCCAGGAAAGCGGTCGGCGCAAGGAAGCTGCTGCCGCCTACCGTGCTGCACGTCTAGCGTACAAGCAGATAAAGCTGGATGACGTACCGGACGACGCAGTCGATGCCGCGATGAGGCGAATGGAGGCGGCCAGCGTTGCGTACCGGAGTGCCGGTGGCATCTTCGTTGACGGCGCACCGCGGCAGGTGTACGTGTCAAACCTGACGCGTGCGAAGCAGACCGCCGATCTGCTTCTCGAGGCGTTCCCTTCCGCGCTGAAAAAGAGCGTGAAGGTGGACTCGGCGTTGCGGGAGCGCTTCCCGTGCGATGTGGAGCCGAAGCGCTCGCACGTGGCCACCGCGGAAAACATGAAGGCGGCGGAGGAGGTCTTTGAGCGGTACTTCCATCGTCCCACGAGTGATGAGTCGAGTGTGGAGATTATCGTGGGGCACGCTAATGTTATCCGCTACCTCACCATGCGTGCCCTGCAGCTGCCCCCGGAGGCGTGGCTGCGCACCTCGCTGCCGCACTGCAGCGTGACCACCATCACCATACGTGGCACAGGTCATGTGAGTCTAGTGGGCATGGGATCGTATGGACACTTGCCGCCGGAGCTCGTCACAACATCGAATCTACCGTGAAGAGGACGAAGCGCAAAGTCTTCCTTCCTCAAGTAGTAAATATTCAACGAAAGAATGAGCTAACTTGCCATCGTCTTGAGCACGTTTAGGGTGGTTCTTTACGTAAAGCAACAGTGCACTAATGATAATAAATCATGAAATCATGGACGCTGCACGATGGGCTACAAGGTGTTGACATGCGCACAATGATATATATTCTTTTCAGCTCTAAAGCAGCATATCGAACGACTCCCATCGTCGAACGCAGTTCATATTCTTATTAGTGTTATTGCTCCGCTTTGAATTAGAGAGCCGTCTGCATCCGGTTTCACGCTCCGCTCCTTCCCCAGTCAAATCCGTATCCTTCTCATCTCTTCCCCCTCCCATACTTTTTATTCACTACCAAAACCGTCACCACTTATTTCCTTAGAGGGTTGTACAATAGTGTCGGTGGTCAGTCGCTCGCTAACGGAAGCTGGAGCATTCAAACCCCTCTTCCGTTTTGTATGTTCGCCTTAAAAAGCACTTTACCGGTCACGATTTGCCCTCCCTGTTACAACAGAGTTGTGCATAGATCTATCGCCTCCTTCGTCGTGCAGCTCGCCAAAGTCAACGCTGCGCATTTTCACTCTGTTTGGTCATCTTTTTTTTTCCTCTGCGCGTACGTGTTCTTGCGTGTGTGTTTGGCCCCCACAATTTATCGATTTAAACGGAGGAAATCTCATTTTTTTTTCTCATTTCTACAATCTTAATATTTTAGGGTTTTCTTTATTTTCGCCAACGTGTTGCAGGTTGCAGTTAAGAGCGTCTCAACATTCCAAATCGTCCCGCATGTCGTTCTTCACTCTCCGTCGTTTTTGTGGCAGCCTGGCCCTCGGCTTTGTTGCCTCCCCGCTCTTCCGCGGCGTGGCGGTGGCGCTGTGCGAGTCCGCCTCTGGGCCGTCGGCGAGTATTTCAGCCGATGGGCAGATTAACCACATCTTCGATAACGTGCCGGCGCCGACGAAAGAAGAGTTGGAGTACGTAAAGACGTGGGGCATACCGTGGGTCGACGAGTGGGACCGGCCCGGAGCGCGTGGCATTCGCTCTGATCGTAGCACAGCGCACCTACGGCAGATCATCATGATTCGCCACGGACAGTATGAGAATGAGGCGACGGAAGATGACAGCATTCGCCGCTTGACTCCGCTAGGTGAGAAGCAGGCACGCGCCACCGGTGTGTACCTGCGCAAGCTGTTCGAGGAAAGTGAGAAGAAAAAGCAGCTGCTTGCGGTGTACACGGCTGCACGTGCAGCGTACCAGAAAGTGAAGAAGGAAGACGACGCCCCCGAGAAGGAATCGGCAGCTCTGCAGAGGATGATGCAAGCGGATCTCGCCGTTCGCGGAGCCGGTGGTATCTTTGTGGACGGCGCGCCGCGCTTTGTTCATGTGTCCAACATGGTGCGTGCGCGGCAGACAGCCGATCTCATCCTGGAAGCGTTTCCAGCCGAGGTGCAGCGCGCGTTGGACGTGGATCCGCAGCTGCAGGAGCGCTTCCCGTGTGATGTGGAGCCGAAACGGGAATTTCACGCGACCGTGGAGGACATGAAGGCGGCGGAGGAGGTCTTTGAGCGGTACTTCCATCGTCCCACGAGTGATGAGTCGAGTGTGGAGATTATCGTGGGGCACGGCAATGTTATCCGCTACCTCACCATGCGTGCCCTGCAGCTGCCCCCGGAGGCGTGGCTGCGCACCTCGCTGCCGCACTGCAGCGTGACCACCATCACCATACGTGGCACAGGTCATGTGAGTCTAGTGGGCATGGGATCGTATGGACACTTGCCGCCGGAGCTCGTCACAGCAGTGAATCTACCGTGAAGAGGATGAAGCGCAAAGTCTTCCTTTCCCTGCGCATAGTTTTTAGTTTTTATGGTTTCCTGTGGACGGGTCAGCTGGTACGGTTTCACACAGAATCTCCGCCGCTGCCATTGATTTCGTTGTAATTAAGCAGAAAACAAACACCCATCTCATTCGTTGATCTGTTCACGTTGCATTCTTTTATTTTTTTACGCTGATAATTACATTTAAGAGGAAACCCATGGGTGAGTTCAAACATCTGACTACGCTGTGTGTGTCTCACTAAACACGTTCTCACGTGTTCATCCCTTCAGTTTGACAGCGGTGCATTCTCCCCTGCTCTGCCGCCGCATCTGTGGCAATCGAATTTCTATTCCTCTTCCGCTCTTTATGCCTTCTTTCCTTCACATCAAGAACACGCAGAGACACAACTGTTCGATGCAGGGGTTGCACCTCAGCATCCAGTTCCGTTAACTCTCTCTTCTTAGTTTATGCGTTCAGACTTTAGTGCAGCTTCACGCTGTAAGCACCGCCATCGGACACAGAAGGGCCACATTCGTGCTCTTCTGTGATGAACTCAGGCAAGCGAGAGTCACTGCTCCCTTCGAGAAGTACTGTCTGGTATGTGTGTGTGTGTGTGGCTGGATTCGCAGTGCAACTCCTCACACGTGGATGCAGCAGCCGCATACAAAGGAACACGGGGGGACTCCAATTCATTCATTCCCCTGCGTGATGGAACTGCGGCGAGACGGACTGAAGAAGCTGGTGTTGCAGCCGCACTGTGGTGCCGCACAGGTCGGCCATCTGCGTCGGTGTGCGAGTGTATGTATGTGCGCAGCGCGACGTTGACAGCGAACCGGCTCCCACGAACAATCCCGCCCGGAGTATATTACTCTCGATCTCTTGTGCGGACCTACGGGTGCCCAGACGTGTTTGACGACGCAGATGCACAGACAGGTGCCGTGCCGCTGTGCGTGCGCGCTGGTGTGTGCGGGACTCAAGTGGTCTTTGTCAAATTCCTCGCAGCGGCTGGTGAGGTGGTGCGGTGCCACGCGCTCGCCCCCTCCCGCATCCGTGCCGTGCCAGGACCGTATGACCTCGAGAAGCGTGGCGCGTGGCGCCGTGCGAATGGCTGTGCGTGGGTGCGTTTGTGTGTGTGTGCCTGTGTGCCGCTGCGGTGGAACGTTGCAGGAGCCGTTGAGACGACGACGACAGTATAACTTTATTTACAATACACAGTTGGTGAGAGCTCTATTTTCGATGATGATGCATGAGTTAATCCATTCTCTGAGTCTCGGCTGTTGTGTGGTGGCGGTGGTTGCAGTGCGGCGCACTGTGGTGGGCGTGGCTGCATCACGGTGTGAATGGTTACTTGGGGTGTGCGCTGTGCTGGGAGGGAAGAGGAATGGGGAGACGGGGTGCAGCAGCCGCATACAAAGGAACACGGGGGGACTCCAATTCATTCATTCCCCTGCGTGATGGAACTGCGGCGAGACGGACTGAAGAAGCTGGTGTTGCAGCCGCACTGTGGTGCCGCACAGGTCGGCCATCTGCGTCGGTGTGCGAGTGTATGTATGTGCGCAGCGCGACGTTGACAGCGAACCGGCTCCCACGAACAATCCCGCCCGGAGTATATTACTCTCGATCTCTTGTGCGGACCTACGGGTGCCCAGACGTGTTTGACGACGCAGATGCACAGACAGGTGCCGTGCCGCTGTGCGTGCGCGCTGGTGTGTGCGGGACTCAAGTGGTCTTTGTCAAATTCCTCGCAGCGGCTGGTGAGGTGGTGCGGTGCCACGCGCTCGCCCCCTCCCGCATCCGTGCCGTGCCAGGACCGTATGACCTCGAGAAGCGTGGCGCGTGGCGCCGTGCGAATGGCTGTGCGTGGGTGCGTTTGTGTGTGTGTGCCTGTGTGCCGCTGCGGTGGAACGTTGCAGGAGCCGTTGAGACGACGACGACAGTATAACTTTATTTACAATACACAGTTGGTGAGAGCTCTATTTTCGATGATGATGCATGAGTTAATCCATTCTCTGAGTCTCGGCTGTTGTGTGGTGGCGGTGGTTGCAGTGCGGCGCACTGTGGTGGGCGTGGCTGCATCACGGTGTGAATGGTTACTTGGGGTGTGCGCTGTGCTGGGAGGGAAGAGGAATGGGGAGACGGGGTGCAGCAGCCGCATACAAAGGAACACGGGGGGACTCCAATTCATTCATTCCCCTGCGTGATGGAACTGCGGCGAGACGGACTGAAGAAGCTGGTGTTGCAGCCGCACTGTGGTGCCGCACAGGTCGGCCATCTGCGTCGGTGTGCGAGTGTATGTATGTGCGCAGCGCGACGTTGACAGCGAACCGGCTCCCACGAACAATCCCGCCCGGAGTATATTACTCTCGATCTCTTGTGCGGACCTACGGGTGCCCAGACGTGTTTGACGACGCAGATGCACAGACAGGTGCCGTGCCGCTGTGCGTGCGCGCTGGTGTGTGCGGGACTCAAGTGGTCTTTGTCAAATTCCTCGCAGCGGCTGGTGAGGTGGTGCGGTGCCACGCGCTCGCCCCCTCCCGCATCCGTGCCGTGCCAGGACCGTATGACCTCGAGAAGCGTGGCGCGTGGCGCCGTGCGAATGGCTGTGCGTGGGTGCGTTTGTGTGTGTGTGCCTGTGTGCCGCTGCGGTGGAACGTTGCAGGAGCCGTTGAGACGACGACGACAGTATAACTTTATTTACAATACACAGTTGGTGAGAGCTCTATTTTCGATGATGATGCATGAGTTAATCCATTCTCTGAGTCTCGGCTGTTGTGTGGTGGCGGTGGTTGCAGTGCGGCGCACTGTGGTGGGCGTGGCTGCATCACGGTGTGAATGGTTACTTGGGGTGTGCGCTGTGCTGGGAGGGAAGAGGAATGGGGAGACGGGGTGCAGCAGCCGCATACAAAGGAACACGGGGGGACTCCAATTCATTCATTCCCCTGCGTGATGGAACTGCGGCGAGACGGACTGAAGAAGCTGGTGTTGCAGCCGCACTGTGGTGCCGCACAGGTCGGCCATCTGCGTCGGTGTGCGAGTGTATGTATGTGCGCAGCGCGACGTTGACAGCGAACCGGCTCCCACGAACAATCCCGCCCGGAGTATATTACTCTCGATCTCTTGTGCGGACCTACGGGTGCCCAGACGTGTTTGACGACGCAGATGCACAGACAGGTGCCGTGCCGCTGTGCGTGCGCGCTGGTGTGTGCGGGACTCAAGTGGTCTTTGTCAAATTCCTCGCAGCGGCTGGTGAGGTGGTGCGGTGCCACGCGCTCGCCCCCTCCCGCATCCGTGCCGTGCCAGGACCGTATGACCTCGAGAAGCGTGGCGCGTGGCGCCGTGCGAATGGCTGTGCGTGGGTGCGTTTGTGTGTGTGTGCCTGTGTGCCGCTGCGGTGGAACGTTGCAGGAGCCGTTGAGACGACGACGACAGTATAACTTTATTTACAATACACAGTTGGTGAGAGCTCTATTTTCGATGATGATGCATGAGTTAATCCATTCTCTGAGTCTCGGCTGTTGTGTGGTGGCGGTGGTTGCAGTGCGGCGCACTGTGGTGGGCGTGGCTGCATCACGGTGTGAATGGTTACTTGGGGTGTGCGCTGTGCTGGGAGGGAAGAGGAATGGGGAGACGGGGTGCAGCAGCCGCATACAAAGGAACACGGGGGGACTCCAATTCATTCATTCCCCTGCGTGATGGAACTGCGGCGAGACGGACTGAAGAAGCTGGTGTTGCAGCCGCACTGTGGTGCCGCACAGGTCGGCCATCTGCGTCGGTGTGCGAGTGTATGTATGTGCGCAGCGCGACGTTGACAGCGAACCGGCTCCCACGAACAATCCCGCCCGGAGTATATTACTCTCGATCTCTTGTGCGGACCTACGGGTGCCCAGACGTGTTTGACGACGCAGATGCACAGACAGGTGCCGTGCCGCTGTGCGTGCGCGCTGGTGTGTGCGGGACTCAAGTGGTCTTTGTCAAATTCCTCGCAGCGGCTGGTGAGGTGGTGCGGTGCCACGCGCTCGCCCCCTCCCGCATCCGTGCCGTGCCAGGACCGTATGACCTCGAGAAGCGTGGCGCGTGGCGCCGTGCGAATGGCTGTGCGTGGGTGCGTTTGTGTGTGTGTGCCTGTGTGCCGCTGCGGTGGAACGTTGCAGGAGCCGTTGAGACGACGACGACAGTATAACTTTATTTACAATACACAGTTGGTGAGAGCTCTATTTTCGATGATGATGCATGAGTTAATCCATTCTCTGAGTCTCGGCTGTTGTGTGGTGGCGGTGGTTGCAGTGCGGCGCACTGTGGTGGGCGTGGCTGCATCACGGTGTGAATGGTTACTTGGGGTGTGCGCTGTGCTGGGAGGGAAGAGGAATGGGGAGACGGGGTGCAGCAGCCGCATACAAAGGAACACGGGGGGACTCCAATTCATTCATTCCCCTGCGTGATGGAACTGCGGCGAGACGACTTGTTAGCGGTGCGTGCCCCTCCCGCGTGCTGAAGTAGTACAGAGGCGTCTTCTACTCTGGCACCCGACTTGGAGGGCGATGAGTTGCGCGGAGTACGCAAGCGAGGACGCTCTTGCGAGCTCTCTTGTGCCGTCCCTCTGTTTCTCTCGGTCTCGTGCGGTGCGATTCTTTCCCGGTTTGTGCTGTTTATGCGTTCAGACGTTAGTGCAGCTTCACGCTGTAAGCACCGCCATCGGACACAGAAGGGCCACATTCGTGCTCTTCTGTGATGAACTCAGGCAAGCGAGAGTCACTGCTCCCTTCGAGAAGTACTGTCTGGTATGTGTGTGTGTGTGTGGCTGGATTCGCAGTGCAACTCCTCACACGTGGATGCAGCAGCCGCATACAAAGGAACACGGGGGGACTCCAATTCATTCATTCCCCTGCGTGATGGAACTGCGGCGGGATGACTCGGGGCCGGTTGTGATGTTAGGAGTTTCGGACGACAAGACTGTTTCGATGCGAGTTGGCGCCGACGCTGACGGTGCACTTTTCAACGGGAAGATATGTGTGGTGCCTACTGCCTTTGGTCGCACACCATCTCCCGATAAAAAGAGAAATAGTCCCGACTATCGAAGTATGCGCTGCAATCGCTTGGGCGAAGTGAGGGAAAGGGGAATGTCAAAACTTATCGTTTGTGTGTTTGTACTGACGGGTTAGCTTTCTTCACATCCCTACCAAATGCATTCTAACGATCTCGATCGCAACGGATACGGTGATGAGACAGTTCACATCGGCGCGTTTTTTTCTTTCCTCCTCTGTCGAGCCAGGACACATGTTGCTATGTTGGCTTTCCTCAAATCTATCCCTGCTCCTCTTCTCTTTTCTCAACAATACTGTTGTTTCCGTTATCAAACACCCATCGCATCCGTTTCGCCTCCTCAGTAACTGCGAGGATAGCAGACGTGGGATCACTCTCTTTTCTTCAATGGCCGGGATTATTTTTCAGTACCCTCGCCGTGACGGCACTACCGGGTTAGAGCTGGAGGCAGTGCGGCACGACTACGCACGAGTTGCTCCTTCCTACGGTTGCAACCTTGTGAATGCGGTGCTACAGGCTCTCGATGAGGCGGCTGCGTGCGCGCCAAGAGAGACAAACGCCGCCGTGAAAATCCAAGCCACGTTTCGTATGCACCGGCAAGCGGCGACGTTTCGTAATATGCGACGCAAGACGTGCATGGTTCAGCGCGTCTTCCGCGGTTACACCACCCGTAAACGTCTTGAGCACGAACGCACCACAACGCAGCGGCTTTCCTATCTGCAGACCGTCTTCGACATGTTCGCCACGCGTATTCAGGCGTGCTTCCGCGGGTATTACAGCCGCAAGACACGGTTCAACTACTACGCTCAGCAAGCCTACATCAGTACGGTGATGTCGCGTTCGCTGGGCGTTTTAGGAGACGCGCACCGCACCCGCATCGAACAAGACAAATTGCGCGCCGCAGAATCGCAGCGGGTGCTGGCGTTGAGCTACGCCCGGTGCACCGCACAGATGCACCACACCATCTCCACATGCAGCATCCCGAGTGTGTACCTTCGACCCCCCGTTTCATCGGTGCGACTCGCACCCAACAGCAAGCTCCAACCCACGGCAGGCGGTGGCCGTGATGGGACAAGAGGCGACGCAGGAGAAGGGGTGGGAAATGCAACGGCGGAGGATTATGAACTGGCCCAGGCGGCGGTGTTGACCGCGGGTGAAAAACTAGAGGATGACATTCAGCAAAACTCGCGGGCCGCCCGACACAACCGCGTGGGCACACCAGGGGCTCCGGGTGTGTCGCGGGGAACATCGCCCCGCCCCGCGGCTGCCACGACCGCACCGCAAACACGGGCACAGTCAACAGACGAGAAGCGCTCGCCCACCACTGCCACCGCCTCGCAGAGCCCGCGTCTTCCTGCGTTAGGTGCAAACTCTGGAAAGCAAAAGGTCTACGCAAAAACAAGCGGCGCACGTGTCAACGGGGAGGGAAAGGCCAAAAACCGTCTAAGCGTTCCGTGGGAAGAGGCGTCTGCGACGGCACCGCAGCGACCGCTCATTGAGAAGGTCCACCGGCACACGCAAAGCCCCCTCCACACCACCACCTCTGCCTCTGCAGCTGTCGCGGCCTCAACAACTCCTTCTGACCCGTCAAACAACAACACATACAAGGCTGTCTCGTCGTTTCATCGCAAATTCGGCATACGACGGCACGACTGTGTGGAGCACAATTTGAGCTGCGAGGCCGGTGTCGTGCAGAACGGTGCGGTCGCGGTGACGTTTCCTGGTCCGCTGTCGACGGCGAAGGAAAGCGCTGCGCTGCAGCACAGCGTGGATCAGAAAGTCATCAAATCGCTTCATGGCAACGATGTCTTCAAGGTTCCTGCGTCGCGTGGCAAACGAGCGTGACGGATGTTGAGGTTCGCTTCGATGAATTGAACCACCGCAACCCCGTTTATCCTTCCTGGGTGTCACACTGATGCTTTGTCGGTGACTGGTTGGCTACGTACATGTATAGTAGGACTACTTTATCATTTTTCTTTTTGTTTTCATCGGAGATGTACTGCCAAAGCAGCCGCATGCCACTGTCCTCATGCAAGTTTTTTTTTTTGCGGTCTTTTTTTGGTATTTAAATCGCTTTTGCTTTCATCAAAAGGGAAAAGAACGCATTTGTTGGTGTTAGACGCTGCGGTTGTGCATAAACGCGCCGTTGATCTTGCACAACAACAACAACAGCAGAGAAACCACTCGTAAATCGGGCCTCTCCATCACCGTTCTCGCGCAGCCAGAAAACAACAAAAACCAATGCTGCCTAACAAAAGAAAAGAATAATAGCGCCTTTCGAATAATGGGGACCAGTGGCCGCACATCGTTGATGAAGCGCGATTTCCTTCTTCTACCGTCCCCGCTGATGTTTGGTTTACCAAAAAATATTCACTTGTACGCTTGTATCTCACTCTATGTGGAAGTGTCACGCTAAACATATATATATATATATATCCTTAAAGCGTCGTTACAAGCAATCCACAAGGGATCCGTGCCCGTCTAGAATGGCGTGTTCGGCAGGTCGATCGCGCGCCGATGAGATCACGCACCCCGTAGGTCTCACCCGCTCCGTTCGCCACCAGGCCCCGAGTCAGCGCTCCGTGCTGCCACCAGCTCCCACCTCGAGCCAGCTCAGTGCTATTCTACGTGAAGCAGCACAACTGCTGCCTCTGTCTTCTATGGCCGACCTCGACTCAGGAAAGAGGCGCAGTGGAGGAGTCGCCGGTGGGTTGGACGTGTCCTCGGCATCATTGCCAACGGATTATGCATCTTTTGTTCGCCGCCAGTGCCCAACAAGCCGTCGCGTGCAGAGCAGCTTCGCCGCCGCGAAGGCGCACTCGATGCTGGGCGAACTGCTGCATTTCTTTGCTGTCTCCCTCACGTGCCTCTTCACCGAGGGCGTCGAGTCGGCGGCGGTACTATCGTTTCCGGCGGAGTGGGAGCACCGTCTGAACGCGCCAAACGCTGCGGCGCTGCGGGAGAAGTACCTATACGAGTTGCAGGGGTTTAGTACGCTCTTCACGTACGTGTGGGGCAACGTTGCCGCCGCGGGACGTGCGGCGCCGCTGCCGCTGAGAGAGGAAGAGGAGGACGACGACGAGCGGGAGGGGAAGAAGAGAAAATCAAGTGCGAGTGCGCGTACGGCGGCTCCGCAGCGATCGCGATCGCCATCGTCGGCTCCATCGCTGGCGTCGTCGTGCGTCGCGCACGAATTGAGTGAAGGGAGAACAGCGAAGGTACAGCGGACAGCTCCCGTCGCTGCCGCTGCTGCTGCCGCCGCTGCACCGGTGGGGACCAATACACGTACACATCCTCTTCCTCAGTTAGTGAAACAAACCACAAACGGGAAGACACTCCACAGCGCGCTCTCCTCGGCACCGTCCGCAGCGGATGCGAAGCCGTCTCGAACCTCGAATACGCAGACGACGCAATCGTCAGCGGTTACATCCAAGTCGGCTCCGGGCCACGGCTCGACTGGCCGTCGTCGCAGCCTGCCGGTGTTCAACGCCGATACGACGTCCAGCGAGCCACCTGCGCTCTCGCGAGGGTCGGCCGTTGCGGCAACAGGGCGCGGGCACTTCTTACCGTCGCTGCCCTTCGACGGGTTGGTGCCGTCTCGCCAGCTGCCCGGGCTGGAAGTGAGGAACGCAAGGGCCGGCGCGCAGCAAGGAAGAGGGAAAGCCCTACCAGAGGACGCGTCGGCGCCCAGCTCGTCTCCTCCACAACAGTCCGAGGCATCACACTTTTCTGCCTCGGCGAAGCAGCTGGCCATCCAGCTAGCGAAAGAGCAAGATCGAGAACGTGAGCTGAAGCGCGAGCTTGGTGTGCGAAACGTGCGCAACTTCGCGAAGGAGGAGGACATGCATGGGTACCTGCAAGCGTTTCAGCAAAACATGCACAGCGTGTTGGACGGAGAGGAGGATACAGTCGAGGACGGTGCGGGCTCCGGCAGCCGCTAAGCGCAACGAAGGTTTTCTTTCTTTTTTTTTCTTAAAGAAAGGAACCCAAAATATGTTTTTGTTGCATGCCTTTTCTTCATCCTTGTAAATCCTGATTTACAGACTTTGCACCCCCCCCCCCTTCATTCCAGCTGTGGCAATAAGAAGGCTACCATTTTGCTGTCGTACGCCTTGCAAATACCACCTGGTTTCGCTTGATCCGTGTGCTGCTTCTGTCGCTAAGAAGCAGATGGGGTAATCTGTTTTGCCTCTTCTTTCACGTACTGAAACTTCGCATGTACAATAAAGGTGCTACTCCTTTTCTCACATTTCTTTTTCTTTCTTGTTAAACGTGGCATTTACGCTTTAACCTTTACGTCCTGTTTTCCTCATGTAATCCAAAAAAAAAACATCGGGTTTTCCCCTTTCTATTCTTCTTATTTATCTGCCATTTTTCGTTCTGTTGTTGTTGTTGTTGTTGTTGTTGTTTTAGAGAGCGCTGGCCGCGGCTTTTTCATCATTCCCTCATCGTGGCAGTCGTTCGGTCACGGCTTCTCTGTGTAGATTAACGTAACGTACTCTCAAGTAGTGTACTTCGCACATGGAAGAGAGCGAGAGAGAGAGACTACGCGTCGGGTTTTTTTTCTACCTCTTCTTGTACTTACAACCATGAACGTCATCTTCAAACCACATCAGCAACAGGAGAAGCATATGTGAAAGGAAAATGCGAGAGTTTTATTGAGTAGTTTTTTCATGCGTAAATCGTGAGCTGGGCACATATCGGCCTCCTATTGACGCGCAGATGGCTCTACCGCTAGGAGAAGCGTGAGCAGGCAACCGATGCAATCGCATTTGATTAGCGATTCGTAAAGAGCTGTATGAATGAGCTTTCCCCCACCCTCTCTTTCTTCTTCTTAACCCCTATTGCAGTGATCCCCGTCGTGATTTTTCCTTTGTCTCTCTCCGCTATCCTATCACCGAGAGATATAGCGAAAGGAAAAGCCTCAACGCTGTGTTGAGCACCGAATCACAGCATCGGAGTGAATCGAAGCATAATCGACGCGTTGCGGTCACACGAATACGCCAACTGCTTCTTTGAGCAAATACAGGGAATAACGCAGCGCACAAGTACGGCTTTTTTCCCCTTTTGCAACAGCACTCTATTTGGCTTCGGATGCAAGCTAGGTGTGCCCCAAAACTGGTGAAGGACGACCCTTTACATTAGTTTAAAAAGGAACCAGTTTCATTGCAGTATAATTAAATTCGCTCAATTCAATATTATTACTATTATTATTATTATTACTACTACTTCTTCCATTGAGGTGCGACCATGGGCGGTCATCGCGGAGCACATCGTTTTACGCGCTTATGGCGCAGCCGGCGTATAATGTGGCGCGCCACTCTTTTTTTAATATCGCTGAGCTGTCTCAGTTTAGTGGGGATGCTCCTGTCGTTTTTCCAAGACAATGCTGAGTTTTACGCGGAGGAGAAGCACCACAACACCATGCAACCACCACCGCAACACAACAACTTTGCTGGGGGAGAAGATGCACGCAAGACATCCTTTCTCCGGCCCGCGCAAGCGAACACATCCTTCCCTCCACAGCCGACGACTAGTCCCATACCGGTTGCAGAATCGTTGTGGTTTAACGATGCGGAGATCACCGGTGATGAGGGCAACCTCGGCCGAGATACGAGTGTCTTCTCATCAGATGGAGTAGCGCGTGTGGTGTTTGCCGCTCGTAAGCGGCTCCATTCGGAAAACGAAACCCCATCGTCACCCCGCCTGCTTGCCTCCGACGTGTCGTGGGTTGCCTACGCGCGGTATGCGCAGGTGCACGCAAAAACTGGCGACGACGGCCGCCCAGCAGGACCAAACGCACCAGAGACGCCGCAGGACTCGGCCGCAATGCGCATTCGCCCGTTAGAGCAGGTGGAGGTGCAGCTGTTGCGTCAACGCGTGTCACGCAATGTCTGGGCCACCACGGACCATCCTCAGCTGGGCGCCATTGTGGGGGTGGTCCCCTTCGAGCCTGGTGCGCCGGACACCACGGAGGAGCTGCTGGTGGAGCAGTACCTACGCGCAGAGGATCAACGGAAGGCCCGTCCCGATCCGTTGCGTTTTTTATCCCTCGCCGCTGTTGCCGCGCGCACCGGTGGCGGGGGAGACGAGGGCAGGGGAGGGGGAGGCAGCAGCACGTTAGAGGTCGACACGTCGATGGACTTGTTGAAAACGCGAGCACTACGTGGCGCGAATAAGGCGACGTCGCCACCGCCGACACCCCTGATTGAACTGAGGAGCGGGTTTCGCGCAAAAGATTTCACGGACGGCGCAAAGGACGACACCATCGTCTCGCCCACCGCGACGACTCTGAGGTGGAATGCAGGGGGTGCGGAGTCAGAAAACCCCGTTACCTTTGATGTCACGTTGGACGTAGTGCATCCGCGACAAATCATCAGCGACGGCTTCAATGGCAGAGGGACCATGGACCAAAGGGAGTCCACGGTGAACGAGGTCTTCACGGATGCACTCCAGGCAACCGTGTGCAGCGCACGCCTTGTTCGCTTGTACGGGCTCTCACCGCTTCTGTTGAGGTCGCAGCAACAAGACGACGCGGGAACGGAGGCGATGGGCGGTGATGACTTCATCCCTTTGAACATGCGAGAGGGAGTCGAAGTGATGGTCGGCGGACGATCTGCGTCCTCTCCTCACCTTTTGGTGCCGGGTGTCGTGCCTTTGCTCTACATGGAGCTGGACACGGGTGACGTACCTCGGCTGCCCCCGCTGTCGCCCCCGGCACGTCGCACGGTGGGGCTGCTGTGGCTGCATCCAGCTCCTTTTATTCTGTCTACCTTCACCGCTGCTTCAGCGCAGACATGCGTGAGGCTGCGGAGCACGGTGAGGCCGACGAAACTCTATCTGCTCCCCGGCCCCACGCCGGCGGACGTGTTGCGGCAGTACTACACGCTGACGGGCTTCCCGACGCTGCCGCCGCGGTTTTTGCTGGGCTACCATCACGGCCTGCGCGGTGCAGCGGCGACAACGCAGGCGACAGTGGAGGCCCTCGATGCGTCCTTCCTCCACTCACGCACCCCGTTGGACAGTGTGTGGGTGACCGACACTGCGGTTTCCGCCCGCGACACTCCCTTCACGTGGAACGCGTCCCGCTTCCCCGATCCGGTGCAGCTGCAGTCGAACCTGTGGTATGGCGGTCGTCGCTACGTGGTGGTGCGCACGGTCCCTACCATTCCCATCACCACGCACTCCCCTCTCTTCCTTGAAGGACGTCGCGAGAGCTTCTTTGTCACGATGAACGCGGAGGAGGCGGTTGGGTGGCCGACGCGTAGTCTCGACGGCGTGCCGAGCAACGTTGTGGACTTCACCAACCCGTCCGCGCGGCGGTGGTACGGTAATATGCTGAAGTACCGCCGCTACACCGGCTCCACCAACCACACCGCCGTCCGCCTGCAGCACGCAGCGCCGTTGGTCATGGCAGACGGCGTGCCGAGCGCGGCACTGTCAGAGTGCGCACTGCGGGAGCTATCGCGTGTGGGCGACGTTTTGCCGATGGAGGTGGGGCACCACGGCAGCTTTGCGCATCGCGAGGTGCATCAGCTGCTGCCGGTGGACTTCGCGCGAGCGGCGCATGAAGGCATGCTGCGTCGCACGCAGTACGTCCGCCGTGCCATGGTGCTGACGGAGAACTACTACGCTGGGATTCAGCGCTACGCTGTGGTGCTGGTGGAGACCCCACCGGCGTGCGCGGAAGATGCAGCGACCCAGATCAATTCAAAAGACACGCCGGTGGTAACGCCCGGTACGAGGGAGAAGAGTGCGCTTGCCGCTGCCTGGAAGCAGTTGCAGCTGGCTGTGCGGCAGTGTGCGCAGCTGAGTACGTTGGGCATCCCGTTTAGCGGTGCCAACCTGGGTGCTGGCCTGACAAGAGAAGTGCTGAGCGTGCTGCTGCAGCGTCAACCAACGGAGCCAGCAATGACAGCAGCTGTGGAGAACGCGCGGAAGGAATTGGAAGACAACGACGATGCAAAGCCGAAGCTACCGCCGCAACAAAACCGCGACGAGGGGCAAGTTCCCATTTCTCGTGCGGTGCAGCCAACCGCTTCCCACTTCCGCGAAGCTCACCAGCTTGTGGTGCGGTGGTACCAAGCCGGTGTGTTCTTCCCGCTTATGTACACCGAAGAGGATCCAACCGCCGCAGCAGCTGAACAAGCGCAAAGCTTTAAGTACGGCACCGGCGATGCGGCAGGACCGTGGTGGATGCGACTGCCGGTGGCGGCGACAACGCAGGCGGCCGTTCACGCCAATATCAACGTGCGCTACGCCCTCGTGCCCTACCTCTACACGGTGGCCCACAACGTGAGTGAAAACGGAAGCTCCTTCTTTGCGCCACTGCCCTTTGCGCAGCTTAGCCCTACGCGGGGTGGACCTGCAACCAGCTCAGGTTTCCCGACGTGCTACGCGGTGGGCGAGGCCGTAGTTGTGTGCCCGGTCACGCGCAGCGTTAGCCAGGCGGCTGAGTCGCCCACGCAAGGGAAGATTGGGACGGACCTGTTCGACTTGTGGACGGGCGTGTGGAGTTCATCTTCCGTTCTACAGACACCGGAGGACATCGTCGTGGTGCCCGCGCAAGGCAGAACGCCGCTGCGGTGGTTGGCCATGACGAGCAGAAGGAAAGTGCCCGCATCCGCAGCCGACCTCCCCACTCCTGCCTTCCTCGCTCCCGCCTTTCTGCGTCCCGGCAACATCATAGCCACACAAAACACCCTGTTGCCAGCAGATGAGGCGTCGGAAGGCAGCCCATTAAGAGACGATGCGCACACCGTACACAGCACCCACATGGGCGCCAACTGGACGCTGACGGTGGCCCTCCCACCCCTGCCGCAGCGGACGGGGTCGACGCCTGCCTCCCAGCTTCTCGCCGCGGGCGACGTCTTCTGGGACGAAGGCAGCCACAACAGTCAGCAGCGGCCGCCTGCGCCTCAGTCGCGCTCGCTTCAGCTGTCCGTCAAGTTTCCAGTCATCCCTCACCGGGTCAATCATTGCGCGTTGCACTTCAACTGCTTTTATGACGTTCGTGAAGGTGGCACGGCGAAGCTAGTGGTGGAGGTGCATCAGACGTCGGACTCCTGCGCGGAGGCCGTTGCAGAGCTGCAGTCGCACTGGCAAGAGCAGCCGGAGGGTTTTGCGCAGCGTCTTTCGCGTGCCAAGGAACTCCGCGACGCGCGTCTGCATGACCTTGAGCTTCAGCAAAATGAAAAAGAGGACAAAGGAATGCGCGTCGAGCGCACTACTGGTCCGCTGGCGGAGACGTTCGCGGAAGAGGATTTGAATGGCCTGCGGCTTCCACGGCAGGCGAACGAGGCCGCGCGAAACGGCCTATGGCGCTCCCACCTACTGCACCGCATTCGATTTCTGTTTCAGCGAGAGGAGGACGCAGCGCAGCTGATAGACCTGAGCGGCGCCTCCAACGCCTCGACCGTGGCAGTAGAGCGGCAGGGCACTCCAGCGGAAACGAAGAGCGAGACGATCGTGTCTGGCAGCGCACCCGTTTCTCGCGGTTCGTCGCGCTCCTACGAGGTGCTTGTCGATTTGTCGGCGTGTGACACCTCCATAAAAGGTGCGAACACCGCCGTAGTGAGCAGTCTCGCAGCGACTCCGTTGTTTGGCGTCGAAGCGCGCGCCGACAGGGACGGGAAGCCCGCGTTGTACGTTCCGTCCGCCTACACGTGGCGCTTTGTGTTTTCCCTCAAGTAAATAATCCTAATGGCGGTGTCTTGCTGTGTATCGTAGAAATAGCCTCGCCGCCTTTCAACATACACAGCAAGGCCCCCCCCCCCACACACACACACCCACACACACGTGCAAATAGGAAAAGCAACAAGGAACGTTGTCAAAAGCGTTTTTCATTGGTCAGCCACCTCTTTTCCGGTTTCACTCGTTAAAAGTATTGATACTTATGATTTGTGTTACTGCCAAGTATTGCGCTGCTAAAAATGCCAATGTGTGTCGTTCGTGTTTGATACAGCAAAAAGGGTCATAACGGGGTTCAGCGTCGTCGTCGAGGCGCGCATGGTTGCGTGCAGACTCTCTCCATCGGAACATCAATAACTGTACGTGTGCTTTTCTGTGTGTGTATCCGGAAACTATTCCTGATGTCGTCTGATGGTGCTTTTTGCTGTTGTTATTGTTGTTGTCGGTTCATTTTTATGGTTGCTCTTTTCCTGTTTTATGACCTCCTCCCCGCCTGATTCTTCTGTTTTTTAATGCTTCCTCTCCTCCGTGTATCTTCTTTTCCTCTTCCTCTGTATGCGTTTAACGTCTCGGGTGTTGTAACGCTCCGCTGACCGCCTTCGTGTGTGCGTGTGCGACCCGGTTGAGAGTCTGAAGCAATAATCGCAAAACGCTTCTTTTTCCTTCTGCTTTTCTGCCGATGCATCTGAAGAGTCTGCATCGTGTGAAAGGGAGAGTGCTCCTCCCTTCACGCTACGATGCATGCATTTCTTTCGTGAAACACACAAACACACGAAGGAGAAAAGCAGTCATTAAGCGTCGTTGTAGACACGTGGTGGTGCAAATAGCCGTAGGGAGTTTCATGGAAAGTAATAACAATAACCAATCTCATTGAGGCAGAACGAATCGATTTCGGCCGCCGTACGCTACGCTGCTCTTTCCAAGTGCCTCCTCCATGTCACCTCCATCTCAGATCTTCACCTCATCTTTGTTCCTCTTCTCTGTTTTTCGTGCGTGTAGTTAGTTTTTCTTTTTTTGGTGCCGAGACAGTGAAAAAAAAGGGGAGAGGGAACGACCTCATCTGTCGAAGCTCCCTTTGTGTGAATGCGGTGAGCTGCGCCATCTCGTACAACGCTGCAACATTCCGCGGCTCTCAACTGTTGGTGAAGAGGTGTTAGAGTAGCGCAGGCTGTGTTTACGAAGAAAAGAAGAAAGCGCAACAGGAATCGGAGAGGTGCTCACATCATCAAGCAGTCTCTGTTTTGTTATTTTCACTCGAATTACTGGCTCTTTCTTTTTTTTCATTAAATCCAAATGAGCTTTCGTGTGCTGCCGAAGAGGCTTTCTCGACCGGCTGCGCACGTCGGGTCAGCAACCTCTACGTTGTCGTCGTCGACATCGTCGAGTTCCGGTACAGCCCCGTCGCCTCTACTGCAGTTTCCTGCCTTCCATCCAGCCCCGTTTCAGCATGACAAATTTCTCTCGATCAAGACCCGTTCACTCGAAACGTACACGAAGCTGCGAAGCGACGTGCTGCAGCGATCCGCGGAACTCCGTACGCAGCTGCAGCGAAACCAGGAGCGGGCGAAGCGCCGCAGCGGTGCCGCTGCTGATGAAACAGCGACCACGACTTCCCTTCACATCGAAGCAGCACATACCTCGTCCTCTCTATCGGCGGCCTCCGTCGAGGTGCCTCCTCTCCCCCTCACGCCGCCTCAAGCGGAGGAGCTGCTGTTGCTATCCAAGAAGGTGGAGAGTCTCACGGAGTTCCAGGGCCTGGTCCTCTCCGATGAACTTGCGTGGCGTATGTTTCACCTCTGCGTTGAATGCGGTGCACCACGGCAAGCAATCGACAACTGGCTGCGCAAACATCTTCTTGCCGAGCATCGGGGGCCACCTTACCCTCTTTTTCTGTTAAAGGACCTCGCTACCGTTCTTCGCACTTCGGTGCTGTCGCGACTCCCTGAAAGTGGAGCGAGCTTGTCCTGCAGTAGCAGTCTTCTCCTTTCAGATGAGGCAGATGGCAGAGGTGGGCTTGTGGGCCTCGAGGATGGTCTTGTCGCCGCACAACGGTTTTTGCAGCTGTACCGCGTGCACCGCGTGCACGACGATGCAGAGGGCGCCGCGTTGGACGACAACCATTCCCGTCCCGGCGAGCTGTACGCCGCCCACCTGATCCACGACTACGTCTGGCCCGTGTGGAGAAGTTTGGAGGCGATGCAGCTCACACTTGAGACGCTGAAGGGTCAAAAGGAGCTGGCCGATGAGGACCAATGCGTGGAAAACGAAGAAGAAAGTAACGAAATCGGTGTGGACAGGAATGCGGCAGAGGGCGAAGGCGGAAGCGAAAGCGGAAGCGAAAGCGTTACGCACAGCTTTCGAAGGTCGGCGGCGACGGCAGGGATCACGTGTTGGTGCCCAGATGTGGCGGAGCAGGCAAAAGCCGTGCGGTCAACTCTCATGTCGGTGTCTCCTCTTTACTCGTTTCACCAGACAGCGTTGAAGTCGGCTGCATCGCTGGCAACACACGCAAAGGCAGGAGGGAAGGGCGAGGAAGCGGCGAGTGCGAAGTCCATGTCGAGCCGCGCTCATACGCTGCTGGCGTACAGCCCGCCTTCCTTCGACACCGAAGTGGAGGCCGTTGTCGCGCCTCTGCGGGCACTGCTCGATGTGTGGCTGGCGGTGGCTCAGTGCGCGTCAGAAGCAAAGGACACTCGTCTGCTACACGAAGTTCAACACACTCTCTGTGTGGGCTTCCTTTGCTGCTCCGCTCCGGATGTTCACAAAACCGATGCTGCTGTCCAACAGACGGTGCTCGCCTGCTCCCTTAACGAGGCTGCGTGGTGCAGATATGGTGCCATTCTTTCCTCCGCCTTTTCCTCCGGTGCTTCTCGTCTCGCCGGCGAGGCAGAAGCGCATGCTCGAGCAGTTGTGCACAGCTTTTTGGCCGACACACTGTCCGTCGTGCAGTACGGCCTGCTGTGCGTCGAACAAGAACAGGCTCTGTGGCAGCTGCACGACACCAGTGCCCTCATCTGCGGCGGCGCCGCGATGTTGAAGAGGCTGCGTGGCGCAGATCCTTCAAGCAATTTTGCGGCTGACTCTGTCGACGTGGACAGTGCTTCACGCCGTCTTCAGGCCCTTGCCGTGGCTCAGCACCAAACAGCAGAAGAGGAAGAACGCAACCTCTTGTGTGACGCCCTGCCTCGTGCCCTCCGTGGCACCGTCCACAGCAGGAGTGAGAGGGTAGCGGACAAGGCAATGAGGAAGTCTGTCCATGCTTTCCTCTCGCAGACCCTGGAGGCCTCGTCAGCCGCAGCCAACGGCGAAGACGCAGCTCCTCTCATGGCCAGCAACACCGCCCTCAGCTACGCTGATGCCGGTATGTACGTTGGCGTTGCGATGGGCGACGCAACACTTCTGCAGCAGGCCGCAGCGGCGGCCGCGATGTCGGAGAGCGATGCTGCCGTCATGCGTTTGCTGTCTCAGTTGCTGCTCCGGTATCGGCGCGCCGTGGTACGCCTCCGCAGCGCTGACGACGACGCTCCGGAGACGGCCGAGGCAGCCGATGCTGCGATATCCGATGCATCGGGGGAGGTCTGGACACGCATTGCGGCCTTGAGGGAAGGGAATAGCATCGCTGATAGCGACGCTGGTGAGGGCACGTCGTCGGCGGCGCAGCAGCTGGATGGGTGCTTGCAGGCGATTCTGCTCGAAACCGCTCGTCGACAGGTGGAGTGTGCAGCGGCCTACGTGCGAGCTGTTCACCCACACGGTCGTGACCCAGATGAAAGCCCAAACAGTGACGAAGAAGGAGGTGAAAATGCGGAAGAGAGCCCCGGAGAAGACGGCGCTGCGCAACGCGCTTTTCACTCGGCGGAGACGGAAGAGGCTCGACTGGAAGCTGTGGCGCAGGCGTGGACGCATCTGCATGAGGTGAGCACGCGGAATGTCGTGGAGGCGCTGGAGCAGGTTGCGATGCTCCTGAGTAAAGCTCGTTGTTGTCTCTCTCCCTCCGCGTTGAGCTCGCTGTCGGTTCTGGGCCGTCTCGGCATCTACCTTGAGCAAGAAATGCGCACCCCCACCAGCAGCACACCATCTTCCGTGCCCTCCTGTTCTCTTACCTCGTCACTGGACAGCATTATCGCCCGTTTAACAGGCGACTCCTGTGCGCTGTTGCAACACGCCCTCTCTTCTCCTTCTCCTCTTTGCACCCCTTCGATTCCAGCTGCATCTGGGCCAACGACAGCGATGGTTGGGACGTGGGTGCAGTGGGTGCTGATCGCTCTCATGAACCGAGGTGACTGGTCAGGCGTACTGGCGGTGCTGAAGTCGTTGGATGGGCTCGTTGAGGAGCCGAGGAGCAGTGGGACGGTCAATAGCAATGCTTCGGCATCGCTGTTGTGCAGCACCACCGTCGATCCTGCGGTGTTTGCCACCCTCTACAACCGTGCACAGGAGGACGGCGCGGCGCGCGTGTGCGCCTTTCTACGGCCTCGACGCGAGTCGCTCTTTTTCTAAACGGGCGTCACAGAGAGAGAGAGTATTACGTACAAAGAAAGCAAACTACTAGGCGAAGTTTTTTTTCAAAGCTTCTTTTAGCCAAGCACTGTCCGAGCAACTATGCGGCAATGCCGCGGCTGCACTCGTTGTCGCGCAGAGAAGTGTATGCCTTTCACGAGGACGCTCTGCTGCGTTTATCGAAGAGAAGTCTCATTCAAATGCGTGCGGTTCAAGCGTTCTGCATTCGTCATGCAATACTGCATGTGTTCTGTTCATCTCGCCCACCGACACTTTCGTATCTCCTTTCGAAATGTCTGCGTCCCTTGCCTTTCTCCATTTCTTTTTGTCGAGCGCTGCGTTGCACCACCATTGTCCACAGCGCTCCTTCTTCGCAAGTCGACAGAAACGTCACAGACACTCGTTTCAGCGAACAAGGGATACAACACTATTTGCGGAGCCCCTTCGATAGCCTTCTGTGTTATTGCTGCCGTTTCGTCCTCGGCAGCGCTGCTTGCTGCCTCTAGCTCCTGATTTGTAGTTGTACTGTCTCATCCGAGTCATCATGCGCTGCTCCCGTCTGCTGCGCACGGCAACGCCGGAGAAGTTTTCCATCCTGGGCACCACTTTACCCAAGCCGAAGCGCAACGGTATGGGCCGTGATAACAAGATGCGCAGTAAGCCGAGCGATAACGTGGCGTGGTACGACAAAGGTCCTGTCGAGTGGCTGCCACGGCCGGTGCGTCTTACCTACGATCAGCTGGATCAGCTGCGCGACTGGATGATGAAGGAAACCATCGCCGGACGCACGGAGGAGCTCAACAAGATCCGTCACCTCCACCGGGAGTGGTCTCAGCATCCCCTCATGCCGATGCTGGGCGACGTGGAACCGAAGTTTCCGTTGAATTTGTACAAGCAGAACCACCGCGCCAAGCACCGCTTTCTTGTGCGCTGGCATAAGGCGAATAGTCCGACCTACTGGATGTGGATGCCCCGTGGTCCTGCGGTGGCGACGCCGCTACATCGTAGCAGTCCGTCCCAGTTCCCAGAGCAGTGGAAGCAGCTAGCTCGTAACGCCAGTAGCACCGCCACAAAGTAAGCGGAAACGAAAAAGTAAGAGGAAGATGCTGCCCCCTCTTTTTCTTCTTCCATCGTTGGATGACAGCGTTGTAGTGCGTCCGCTTTGCCGCTGTTGTTGATGGTGATGGCAAAGGGCTGTTCACGTTTGGTTACGCGTTTGTGTGTGCGTGTGTTTCGCAAATCCTAATCAACAGAGCAAGATCTGTGCTTTGCACCTATGAGCAGGTAATGCGTGGCCTTCTTCCATTGTCGTAGGCTCCCTGAAAGCAGTCAACAGCAAAAATGTTTGTTCCATGCATCTCTTTTCCAAGAAGGAAGCCAAAAGCGCCCTTTTTCTTTTTTTTTTAGCGCGGCGGAACACACTGCTGGTGCTCACCTTCTCCCTGTGCAACTTCACTTCGGTGCCGTTATTTCCCCCCTCTCCTCCTCTCTCCCCTCAACTATACATGTCTTCTCAGTGTAATTTGATTTCTTTCATGTAGTATCATTGAGTCCTGCGATTGTAGCAAGTGCACAGACGTTGTTTTCCTCTCGCCTTCTCTCATTTACGTGTGTGTATACGCATCTTAACTCTTCCATTGCCGTTTGCTTAGAGAAGAAAAAGGGTTTCACGTTCAGCAGGTCGCGTGCGGCCAAGTCCAGCAAACAAACAGAGATGCTCTCTACTTCTTCAAAGCCCAAGAAGGGCAAGTGCCAGAAAATCTTCGATGTCCTCTGCGCCTTGCTCTCGCTGCGCCTCGTCCTCGTCCTCGTCTACATCATTATGATAGTCCTTCTCTGCGTGATTCAAGGCATCACCCTCTTCAGCAGCCCTAAAATCGATATCCTTCACATCCAGTCAAACAAGATCGTCGCTGCACAGGTGACCTTTCTCAGCAAGACTTGGTACGGCGTGGACATCCCCATCCACGGTGCGAATGCCACGGCGCAAATTAACATCAAAATGTGGATCACCAAGCTGAAGCTCGACATCGCCATTCCCTACGACTTCGCCCCGCAGAACATTTCACAGGAGTACCGCGTGCAGGACGTCCCCTGCAAGGAGTTCCGTACCGTGTTCAAGAATCTGCAAATCTTCAGTCTGCTCTCCATCTTTACCGGCTTCATTGTGCTCGTGCTCACCGCGGCGAACTTCTTTACCCGCATGTTTCTCCCGCTGCTGTGGTTCTTTGTGTGGCTCGCCGTCGCCTTCACTGCGTCGATGACGGCGATGATGTTTAAGCTGCTGTGCGACGGCGAGTGCTACGGCGAGCCCATTGCGATCCCCCCCTTCACTCGTTTGGCCATACCGATGGGCGGCTTTGCGCTCTCCATTATTTGCTTTGAGTGCTACCTCCTCACGTCACTGCTGACTGTGTTTTTGTAACGAGACGGCAACGTCGAACTTAGCTGAAGTTGGAAGGGGGGGGGAGAGGGTGGAATCAGGCAGCTGAGTGCGCTTTTGCATGAAGTCGTGGATCACTCTCCCAGGTTTTTTTAGCCGGGGGAGGGGGAGAGAGAGCTGCATAAATGAGATAGGCTGGTTTAACAGCAACAGAAAAACATACATCGTTTGTGTTGACGAAGAGTTGATCGGCAATGTGGAAACGCTATGAGCCGATCGCCCCTCCTCGCTCTTCGTCTTTTTTCTTTTTAGTTGTCATTATCATGATTGGAGCATGTGTATTTTTCATTTGCTTGTTTGTAGCGTAGGCGGATCCCTTCTTCTTTGTGCTGTGACTGCTTTCTTTTTGTTTCTTTTTGTTTCTATGTGTGTGTTGCGTCGAAGTGTTTTGCACGCACGCCCGTTTTCTCCTCCATGTTTTCTTTCTTTTTTCACCTCAACGTGCTTCACTTAGTGCCTCGCTCTGCCTTGCATTTTCGTTTCCCCGCACATGAAGGGGGGAGACTGCTCGTTGTTGGAAGTAAAGAAATGGATAACGTCCAAAATTTCCTTATTTTCACCGTATGTGCTTTAAAGTCCATTTTCCCCCTTTTCTATTCCCCATCGTTTTTTTTTTCTGCTCTGTAAGATGCTGGCTCAGGTAAGTAGAGCTACATCAAGCTTAGTCTTAGATACGCTTTATTGCTATTTCTCTTTTCTTTCCTCTCTTTGCTTCATTAACAGCGCAAATGCAAATTGTCCGTTTTTGAGATTTCCCTACTGCTACTTTCAAACGGGAGCATGGGGAAAGTGTGTTTCTTGTTGCTGATTTCGTCATGTGGTTTACTATCTCCTTTCTTTTGTTTTATATTTCGCCCCACCTACGCAAATAATAAACAAGTGTTTGCTGCTTGGGAGAGAAAGTTATGCGGTACGTCACGTCTTCAAGCATCGTTCTTGACGTCCATTCTGTCGCTTCTTCTTTTTTCTTCTCTCCCCCGCACCATTCACTGGGTCTCACTCATATATATATATATATATATATATATATATTGTCTGTATTGT